GAGTTGAGAGTTATAATTTCACGACCTACAATGCCAGTTAGAAAAATGATCTGAATATATTGGGTGGTCGTCTCATGAACAGCAGAAAATTCTTCTGATTTTCCATATCCTCATTAGCTTTGAGGATAACACAAACAGTGAACATAAACGTATGAGTAAAAGATTGAGATTTCACAAACACGTAACAGGCACTCGTCTACTTACTATGTAAGCGATTTGTAATCTCATATTAATTTGAATCTCATCATAAAATACAGATATATATATAACATTTTACAGCCATGATTTACATGGAAGACAACAATACTGCGCTGAGTAGCTCCAGTAAGAGTGTAGTGCCCCTACATCAACTCTAAATGAACGCCTATAAAACCAATTTGTGTACCCCTATTTTACGTTTACAGGAACCAGTTTCACACATACTTACCGACAATTCGCCATTGTATAAATAAACGTTGGTTTTCGATTGTTTTAGATATTCTTTGCGTGGCTATGCACGCTTGCAGTTGCTTCGCGTACATCGGAAAACGATTTTGCATACAATGCATTTTTAAAATCGTTACTTGTTCTTTTTTATACAACACTGTTCGTATTTGATCGTAGACAGCATTTAGCACATTGCAGAACGTGCAAACATAGATGTTATATGGTATATTAATCGGATTTACATGTAATACACCCTAAAATCTACTCCGAAATATACCTACAGTAGACATAGGCTAAGGACTTTTATTCATTCATATGCACAAATACCTAAAAGCTTTTCATACTAAAATATATGCAGCTGAACGCCTGAAAAATGTAGACTCAAGCCACCGTAACAGACATGAGCAGTGTGCTAGAGGACTAAAAAATTAACTTGGAAACATGAATCTAATTACTTAAAATAAAGCACCCTGAGAACATAGATATATTAGATACCCTAAAATGTTGATGGAAAATTGTGAGAAAAGCTGCTGAAAGACTACTTCTAAAATAATGGGGCATGAGCTAGTAAATACCTTATTCAAGTCTGTTCTGTTTGTTCCGCTAATCAGAAAACTTGATCATATTTCGTTAACTTTATTTTCTCTTAAACTGATTGCAATACAGTGTCATGTTAATGTCTGATACGTTTGTGTAAAAGCATGCCGTACCCTATGTCGTTTACTCCTATTTATTTCCTGAATTTTAGCTTCGGTTAACTTATTACCGACTCACACTTTCAGTTTGCATCCGGTTGACCTGGAGGATTCCACAGAAAGAAGGCGGTTATCTACAGCAGTGGTACTATCCTAGAACAAATCATACTTTCTTCCCACAAAGTTAGCCGATACCACTCCACCTAGCGTGATGAACACAGACAAAGAGAGGAATGGGGTAGATTGTGTAGAAGTAAATAATTACCCAAAATTACTAGACTGCAGCATTCACTCAGCATTGGTTTTTTACGTTCGCCGTTTAATTTCGACTCGTTAAGCTGAAGGTTCGTGGTTGATCATCCATGCTACCTGTCACACTGTCGTCTACTATCGTCGTTCATGAACAGTCCTTAGCTAGCTAAACATTCATTGCACTGTGATTCTGATCCCGAAATATGTCTCGTATTTCGGACGATCAATGTAGTATTCTGGTGTTTCTCTGGCCTAAGTAGGAATTGGGGTTGAGTAGTTGTGTTTATAAAAACCGTACTTTGCGTAAACGTCAACATCCCCTATTTCCTAAAATCCACTGTAAAGGGATATAGATCCCTTGCCGAAAATTTTGGGTTGGATAATTCACCTTAGTTTTTAGCATCAAACAATTCACGAGAATATCTTTGTTGAAGCTACTAAATCTATACAGGTGAGTTTATAAACATTTTTTAAAATATTTTTGATTACAGCTTGATGCCACACCGTATTTTCAGTACAAGTATGGAATTTTCAGCATGGATATCGGTAGCCCAAATTTCGCAGGCCGACCATAGATATCGGGTGTGCGTCGGCAGGGGATCGAACCCCGGACCATGTGCATGGTCGGCGAGAGTCCTAACCACTGTGCCACCGACGCACATAACCCCAGTCCTATTCCTTATCCCAGGCATAGCCTTAGCTCTAATTCTCTACCAACCTATTATCCAAAGAGTACTTGAAAACGAGATCAGGACCAAATTTTCGCACATCGTGGCGTTTTAATAATGGCAGGTTCTGTAATTCAACGAATGGTATACGTTCAAGGTATTTGGTTGCTATTCCCTAATTCAGCCTATTCATCTTACTTATGCTCGTATTACGAGGGCTAGTTCTAATAATCTCAAAGTTCTCCAATAGTTTAACTGCTTAACAATTGGCAACTCTTTGCTTAGCGGCAATTTCGAAGAGATTTGAAGGTCAGCTGCGGCGCCTAGAGCTTTTCAAAGCTGTTGTCCAACTTGTTTATATTTTCCAATCTGAGAAAATCTCCAAATGTAATTAAAAAGCCGCATAAACTATCGTTTCTGTTTGTTAATACTGTGAATTTTTTGTTGTTGACCTTTTGCTAGCTAAGAATAATGTCTTGAGTCGGAGAATTTTTTCGTGAACATGAGTAACGTAGAACTGTGGGTACTATTGGATGCTTTCAGGCTGAAACATGGATAATACTAATCCGATTACAATAGTACTGGTTTAATGCATGAAAGCTCTATCTTACTTTCATAGTCAGTAAATAATGAGATTCATTATGGTTCGATTTTCCGCATAAAATAGCCCTCTTTGCTATTTTTCCTCACTATCCACATTAGTTCAGCACAAACTAACACATTTTAGTATGACGTGCAGTAGTTTAACGCGGAATTGGTAGTATATTGGTGAAGTTAAACTATAGAATCCATCCGGGTACTGAACCTTCGACACCCAATTATGTTTTCCTATGTTACAATCAAATCGAGTTACCCCTTCTGTTCTAGATTCGCTTGACAAATTTCACACATACAAAGTGTTTTTCCAACATTATTGCATTATTGTAAGCTTCGGTATGAACTTTGTTATTCCTGAAGAAATGAGGTCATTTAGTAGTATGGTTCCTATTTTGAATGCTTTCAGGAAAGTCTGCCACCACCATCCTTCAGTTACTTAGTGGAATGTCATTCTCTGGAAGGTTGTAATTTAGCTTCTTTCGAAGGTGGTCATGATGTGTGTTTAGTGATGGTGTTCAATGCGAGTGTCCATAATTCTTTAATGCTGAGATATATGGCTAAGGTTATTGTGACTAATTGGTCTTGTGTTTTTCGTTTTTATTCCTTGACCTGCTTTCATTTGCAATGGTGATTACTTTCTAACTGTTGGGCACTGCTAGCTTTCACTTTAGTCGGTATTTGTTATTCAGTTATACTACTTAGAGATAAATTGATATTTCGTGGTGCGAATCCAACATGAGAGGGGTTCGTCAATTTGTTTTATCAGTAACACTATAGTTTGGCAGCTAAATTACCCTTGGAAACATGTTATTAACATTAACAACCAGATCTGCGAATCTCTTGACCCACCCACATGCTGGGGAGCTATAACGACAGTAAATTTAGACTACCTCAGATAAAACAACCACTATTGATCTTGTTCCATCTTAACTTGAAACAAATGTTCTATGTACAAGCATGGCGATGCATGCTATTCAGATTCACATGCTATGACAAAATAATCAGTGGAAAATTATGTTTTACCTAGAAATAGGTTGCTTTTCAATGTCAAAACTTGAAAATGTCATATTTGCTAATCAAAGATTATAGTTGTTTATCAGATTCTGTATTCACAATAGAAGCTGAGTTTTGGAGTAAGACTACAGTTCAAGATAGCTAGTAAGCGCAGTTATTGATAGGCAAATATATTGTGCTTTTGAAAAATGTAAATATTTACTCTTTTAAGAGTCCACACACAGTAGCTTTAGTGACAGCTTGAGACCAAAGTTTCCAGGCACTTTGCGATTCAAAGTTATCTCCGAAAACATGATAAAGTCCTTAAATGACTGTTAAATGCACAATTAGTTCTAAGGGATATATTTTTCAAGCAAGAATATGTAGTCAATGTTTTCATCACTGTCGAGTACTACGGCACGTTTGGCTGTCGACTTCGTAGAATTAGTATACCAGAGCTCTTCACTTCATTTTTATTTTTTAGCATAATTTTGTGCAAATCTGACACTAAGAAGTGTTCCATATACCTTGATATTACTCAGTTGTCGGTCAGCTGTTGAGTAATCAACGCCCCTATATAGTGTGTCATGCATATCTGACAGACAATAGTGTAGTCTTTAGCTAAGTAAGTTAAGTTCTTGCTAAGAGTAATAACAATAGTTAGAATATTTCACAGTTACGCCTAAACACATTTTTATGGTTAAGCTTCTTCCTATGGTGTTGATCCATTTACTATGATCCCTAAAGTATTCTACACCAAAGTAACTTCACAGCATGTTCTCCTTCACTTCCATATAGGGTACATAATTACATTGTTTGTAGATAGTTTAGGAAGAATGTAGATAAGCGTACTTAATTTATACCTTTTGTCCGTAAAATCCCTCGCTATAACGAAAGTTTCAAATATTTTCTCAAATCTGTAAGCGTTACAGTTTTGGAAGCTCAATTATGCAGCTGTCGGAATACTTACATTTGGATCGCTAACCTACTGCAGTGATCGAGTCACTTACTAACTAACATATCCTATGTAGTTTATAGTAAAATAGCTTTCACATGGTATCTGATTTATTGTTGTCATTATCATTATTCGTTGTTTCTGTATTATAATCTATATAAAACTTTTGACATTTCAGTTATGTTGTTGGCTCAGTGTCCAGTTTGTCACGAGTGTTTTACGAATGCCCTTCAGTGTCACATATCAGCATTACCATGTGGTCACGTATTCCATCAAATATGTATTGATACTTGGTTCAAAACATCGTCTACATGTCCACAATGCAGAATAGGAATAAAAAGAACTTTTGTTATTTCTCGCCTATATTTTGATATGGTCACTCACAGTACAGATGAACGTGTCAGTATTACAGACGGTGAGGACATGGACGCAGAATTGGAAGTTTCTGTAAGTTTACGCGTAGAATATGCATTTCAGATACCGATAATATGTACATTGTATATACTTCTCAAACATGGGGAATTAAGTTCTTGTATTCACTTCTGGATCTATACCATGGTAATAATCTTTGTTGACTAATTTGGCAGTTTCATTAACCATACAGAACTGCTAGTTACACGAAAGCAGGTTACTAGCTAAAGGATAATTATATTAAAAGAAAAATAAGTCTCTAGATCATTATTTGGAAAAAGTAACGAGTCACTGTTTATCCATTTGAGAGATGTTTGAAGATGAGTTCGTTTGACTAGGATTCTTGAAATATTTAGAGCTGCTGAACTATTATTTGGGGCGACATTACGGGTAGTAATTAGGATGTGTTAAACGTTTTCTTTCTCGAATCTTCAGACATTTTACTGTTATTGTCTTCACATTTGCTGTATGATCTAAACTTAATAGGTGACTTACTGCTTTTGTTTTTTATGAATTTTGGGAATGTGAACAGGTGCACTGTTGTGCGAAGTTCTGGTTTGTTGCCTCATTGGATTTTTGCTTTAACATACTCTTGGTGCACCTCTAGCTCACTGCATAAATAATTGTATGATCGCATACTTTTATCCTCTAGCATTAATAACCTCATTCAACTGTTACATAGTCAGAAAAAGAACATTTCTGTATATGGTAATCGTAGTTTAATATATGCTCAGGTATTTCATTGAGTCTATCAATGTTGTAACTCGAGAAGCAGACAAGCCGTGTGTATTTCTACCGACAGTTGATGAGCCACTAATCCCCTGTGCTAATATTGTAACGATAAAAGACAAGGGCCAGGCAAAAGCTCGTTTATTGGGACAATCAACAGATATTTATAGATTTTTATGTACATTATTATTCGTTATTGTTAGCAGAGAAGCAACGTCTTTTGATTGGTTGTTTTTCTGCTAAAGATCATTCTGTCATCTCTTTGTTGCCGTTTCTTATACAGTCCGGTGATATATCTAAGAATTGTATGCACTCACGCTAAGTCTGCAGTGACTGGTTGTTGAGGCTTTGTTCTTGTTTCTTCTCATGACCCCGATTTGGGACGTGAACGTTGACATCAACTGTTGTCTAAAATTTTGTCTTGCAGACAGCTCTCACCACAATACTACTTCCCATATAGATATTGTTAATTCACTTCTAACTAATCTTAAAAAACTAATTACTGAACAAAGAATATTCTTTTCGATAACTTTTTCGTTTAATTTTCATCTTATCCCAAATTTCCATTTATTATAGTTTCATCTTATAACAAAACATTTAAGCGACCAATATTGTCAATTAATTAGATCTCATGAGACTCAACTTTAATATACGTAAATTTACAAATAATTATTAAAATATAAACAAAACATAGTGATTTGTCCATAGGATAATAAGGTTGTGCATATCATTTGTTCACTTAGTCATAATAATAATAATGATTCTATCAATAAAAAGTGGAGCGATCTGTGATAACAAGAATAGTGAAAAACATTATGATCAAACAGACAAGTGTTCAGGTAGAAGTAATCGATAAAGGCTAAGAAAAACAAATGGACCGATTAAGTAATGTCAGATTGTAAGCGAAGCAAATAAACTTTGTTTTAATGATGTGATAAGATTGAGGGGTGATAAGAGAGAGAGATGAAAATATAAGTGAGGGATAGTGATGACATCTTCAGTTGATTAGGTCTTAATACGCCAAGGGATGGATAATGGCTGTATGAACTTCTTTTGAATGAATAGTTTAGGCTTTATATTTCTAGTGCCTGTTGCCTCAGCTACATGTAGTAGATGAATACCAAGACTATTGGAAAGATTCGGTGGGATGTGATGAATCACCTTGAATGCTTTTGTTTTCCCCACTAAATGACCACTATCAGCTAAATGTGACAAAACGGATGGTTTTCGTCTATCCTTTGGGAAACCACGATGGGAGATATTGAGCAACACGCTGGCTAAGCTGTCTAGTATAACTTTCACCTCAGGAGCAGTTGAATTGATGAACACACATAGATGTGGCATAACTATCTAACTTACCCCTCGTTTGAGTCACAATCATCCGTCGGTTAGAGATTTTCAGCTAATACCTTCTGTGCAAAGTTGCACGTGAATAAAGTCAGTCAGTCAACTCACTCACTTGCTTACATGCATATTACCGAATAAGTATAAATATGAGCCATTTATGAATGTGTCGCGTTTCACAAAATTCTTTGTACACGTATTCTATGGCCGGTTATATTACAGATTTTATTGCACACTAATTTGGGTGGAACTGAACTATCAGCGTAGAACTTTGCACAAATTTCTTCACTTCATATTGAAGTACTTCGGCAGGACTCGCATAAAAGTAGAAGAAAGAAGTGTAGAGAAACCCCAACAGACCAAATGAAATGAAGAAAGAAAAGCTAGATGATAACAAGGAGTAAATCCACTGGTGCCACTAGCATGTCACCCCCATATTTAAACACCTCCGGAATAATTCCGTCGGGTCCTGCCGCTTTGCCTCGTTTCAAATTACAGATAGCTTTGGTGACCTCACTTACAGACGGCGGGCCAGTGTCTATGTCCCATTCGGGTGATAGACACTGGCCCGCCGTCTGTAAGTGAGGTCACCAAAGCTATCTGTAATTTGAAACGAGGCAAAGCGGCAGGACCCGACGGAATTATTCCGGAGGTGTTTAAATATGGGGGTGACATGCTAGTATATAGTTTAACTAAGGTACTAGGTAACGTCTGGGAATCAGAGACGGTTCCATCAGACTGGGGTAAGTCACTTATTATACCAATATTCAAGAAGGGAGATAAGTCCTCATGTGATAATCATAGAGGAATCAGCCTAACGAACATAGTCTCTAAAATCCTAGACTCAGTAATCATGAACAGACTAAGCCGAACTCGGGAGGAACAAACGAGGGAAAATCAAGCGGGCTTTAGGCCAGGTAGAGGGTGCATAGATCATATCTTCACTCTCCGACAGATCCTAGAACATAGGCACACTTTTAGGCGTCCAACAATTGCCATATTTCTTGACTTGAAGGCGGCCTTCGACTCCGTGGATCGAGAGGTACTATGGCAATGTTTGACTATGAAGGGAGTGCCAAGAAAGTACATTGCACTAATCAAGGCACTCTACTCAAACTCACGTAGCTGTGTAAGGGCTTATGGGGAATTGTCATCTGAATTGATAACAACCAGTGGTGTCCGTCAGGGATGTCCACTTTCCCCTTTTCTGTTTAACTTCATCATAGATATGCTAATGGAAGTATCCTTAACCGAACGTAATGACTTAGGAATCGACTTGTTACCAGGGAATAGGCTTATAGACTTAGAATACGCAGACGACATAGTCCTGTTAGGGGAGGACGCTGACAAAATGCAAAGTCTTCTGAACACCTTGAGCAGCAATCTTCGTATGTTTGGCATGCGATTCGCCCCTGTGAAATGTAAGATGCTGCTACAGGACTGGACTACGTCAACTCCAAGCTTAGTGATAGGGAGTGAAGTGATAGAACATGTTGACCACTTCACCTATTTAGGAAGTTGTATCAGCACCAACGCATCGATTGGTGACGAAATCTCAGCACGGATCCAAAAAGCTCGGGCTGCTTTCGCTCACTTACACCGTCTCTGGTGTAGGCGTGACATCCGGCCATCAACCAAGGGACGTGTATACTGCTCAGCAGTTCGCTCCGTCCTTCTCTATGGGTCTGAAACATGGCCAATACGAGTTGAAGACATGAAAAGGTTGTCTGTTTTTGATCATAGATGTTTACGATCTCTTTCTCACGTTAGGTGGCATAATAAGGTAAGTAATGTTGACGTTAGGCGTAGAGTGTTGGGCAAAGAGGGAAAATCACTCGAAGAGGCTATAAAGTTACATAGATTGAGATGGTTAGGCCACGTGCTGCGCATGCCTAACCATCGTCTCCCCCGACGGGCATTACTAGCTGATATAGGTGCAGGTTGGAAAAGAGTAAGTGGTGGCCAAACAAAAACATGGCATCAGTCCATGAAATCCTTGACAGTTAAACTGAGTCAGGTAGGGAGATGCAGACTTCCGGGTTGGGGCCCTCGGGACTCTAAGAAACAATGGCTGGAGACAATAGGTGACATGGCTCAAAATCGTTGTCAATGGCGCAGATGTATTCAGTCTCTTTAACCTTCATACTCCTTTCTACCATTACTCATTCTGTTTCACTCTTATACTTGTCAAAACTCTATTGATTCTCTTCATCTCATTTTCTTGTCTACCTTTGTGTGCTCTTTGGAACGTGGCAACTCGAAGTGCTGCACTTCGGTGCCAAGTTCTATGTTGAATCCAGACAGACAGACAGACAGCCACTATGAGCGAATTTGAGCCATGTTACCAATAGTCTCCAACCATTGACTTTTAGCATCTCAACGACCCCAGACAGGTAGTTTTTACCTCCCTACTTGGCTGAGAGATTTCATGAATTGGTGCTATGTTTTCGTGTGATTATTAATCTAATTCTATATCAGATAACGTTGTTCTTCAAGGAGGGTGGAGGCTCGGCATGCTTAAGATGCCTTAGGCATCTCATTCGATATAATTCCACTTCTTATCTAACGCCACCTAACCTCATTATTTCCGATCATTTTGCTCCACCTAACATGAAAAATTGAACAGAGGCACGTATGATTGGAAGCCGCTAGTCTTGTCGTATCTTTCGAATTCGAAGGTTGCTTCCCACAGCCATATAGTCGTATATTAAATCGGTGGCAAAGGTGAGGTGACTTAACAGATGCAAAACAAGCCTCCTGGCCCCATACCAAGATTTCGTCAGCAATCAGATACACTAAATTACGGATATTCGAGTAAAACTAATTTGCTTGTGTAGAGTTATCATTGCTCAGATTTGTGAACGAAACGAGTTTGTTTCATGATACTTCCTTTTTGACTGAATTACAGACTACGTCAATTGTCCATCCTTTTATGTTGTCAATGAATACTTATTTACTAGATATTTTGTAAGTCACAAACTGCATATCTTTTGCAGGTTGTGAAGTCAATGTTTAAAAAATATATTATACGCTTCTGGTTTGTGCCCGGTCGACAACTGCTACCTTGCCGTGGTGGTCGGGCTTGAATACCGCAGTGACCCAACAAGCTAGACTGGCTGGGACTCATGTCCCTGCAGGTCCTACGATATCAGGAAGGTTGTTTGGATAGCGGTTAGACTAAAAGCAGTTACCATGGGATAAATGGGCTCCAGAATCCAATCGGATCAAATGGCGTATGAACCCATATGGGTCACCGGCAACCATGGGAACGCAGCTCCTGACGCTGTTCCGCTGCCTTGCGGATTAGACTCCAAGTCAAAGGCTCGCGGGGTGGTCCCTTAAGAAAACCACCTGCTTCGGTTTCGGCGCCCGGGCAGTATCTCAGCCCTCACACAACAAATGAAATAAAACAACAAACTATTATTGAAACTCACCGTGCGCTCGTAAGAATGATTTCAAGAAATAATGATACCTCAAGCAACTTATGTCCTTCCAAACTTACTTTTATTTTTATACTTAGATTCCTGTATTTTACCTTTGCTCACCTTGACTTCTTAGCCTTCGACAGCCTTTCGCCTTTGTCTGGATTCCTAGCCTATCTGTGTCGTTTCGAGATGTTAGTGAGTAATCCTCAAAATGGTTGTCCCTAATGTGACATCTAACACAGATATCCTGAAACCGCATGCCGCATTCAAGCTGGCCACCTACAATGTTCGGACGCCGATGCAAATCTGACAATAGGCAGGGTTGGTAAGAACATTGGAAAGCCTCACTATCGATGTCTGCTGCATTTCGGAGACCCGCATTCAATATCCCAGTGAAGTGCTTCGATTATCCTCTCCATCTGGAAGTTCTAGTAGAATGTACCACCTGCGCTTGTCCGGGGACCCTGTGGCGTCGGCATCCGGCGTAGCTGGTGTCGGCGTCGCACTGGGCGCTAGAGCCGAAGCTGCATTGCTTGACTGGATTTCCATTAGCAGTCACCTCTGGCGCCGTCGAGACGTTAGCCTGGCTGTCAAAGGTCGGGTATACAATGCTTCAGTGCAGGCTGTCTTGCTCTACGCCTGTGAAACCTGGCCTCTCCGAGCTGAGGATGTGAGGCGACTCTGCGTGTTCGATCATCACTGTCTCCACAGGATTGCTTGCGTTCGATGGCATCATCACGTGAGTAATTCTGAGGTTCGGCGGTGTGTGTTTGAACACAGTGGGGATCACCATTCATTGAGCGTCGTCATCTGGAAACACCGGCTCCGGTGGCTTGGACATGTGCTGCGAATGTCATCCCAGAGACTTCCGTGCAGGTCTCTGTTCGCTAGCCCTGGGACGGGATGGAAAAGGCGGAGGGGTGGTCAGTCCATGACGTGGCGTCGTGGGGTGAAGGATTTTTGTGCTAGATTAGCATCGGTTGGTGCCTCAGGACTCCCTGGTTGGGGTCCGCTAGATAGTTCGAAACATTATCGGATATGGCCAAGAATCGTAATCAATGGCGAACGTGTTGTAATTTCCTTCTTTCTTCCCTTCCTGATGATAGTTAACGAATACTGTTTGAACTTGTTAAACATGACTGTTTTCCTTTCAAATGAAGTTCTTTATCCGTTCTCTACCTATATTTTTACTTTTAATCTATGTTGTTTTATTATTATTGTGTGGCGCATCTTTCTTGGTGCCATATTGTACCAAGTTTCTTCTGCGTTTAAATAAATAAATAAATCTGGTTTGTGTGTACTTCTGTTAAATACTGTGATAAATATCACTTGTAATTTTATTTGTAAACCTGATTGTACCAAGTCAGTTGAGTTCATTGAGGATCTACTTGGTTAATGAAATATCACATAGTACTTAAGTGTACCATTTTCTGTTGCATAGAAAAAGAAGCCATAAATTAACTTTTGGGGTTTTTTCAAGAGTCAGAGCCAATTTTCATCAGGGCAGTTTTTTTACACGATTAACTATTATAACATGTCCACAAAAGATTTAATCCTATTTTTCGACTAACCTGTGATATGTACTAGTTGTTTCAGTAGTTCTGCAAGCAACAAAATCACTAGTCTCCACCCATTAAATATGACACGACTTACTTAGCTAATAAATAAAGTTAGTTGGAGCTCATTATTATTAATACATTACCTTCATTTTCATTTTATTTCTTTTCTTTTTCTAGCAGTCAAACAATAAATCTATGAATTCCCTCAGTATCCAACTTCATCGATTACGTTCAGAAAATATGCGATTAGATACATTGTGTAAAAATTTATCACAAAAATCAGAAGAAAACGCTAAGCTGTTAAGTGCTCGGGATAAAGAAATATCTACATTATCTACTTTGTATAGTGAAACTGATAAATTGTATGAAAAAGAAAGGCAACGTTGTCGAGATTTAAGGTATTTCAAGGAAAAAATGTTTTGCTCTGTTCATTACAATATAAAATTACAATTGACTTAATGTGTAAAACAAGTGCACTGTATAGTGACTAATGATTTTATCTATCTGCCTAACAGCCAACAAATATTGAGATGTTTGTTATTCAATGCCCAAAATATTATTTCTTAGGGAAAATATTTTAAAGTAAGAACAACGAGGCTTAATATTTGGCGGATTCTTTAGATCTCCATATGTTGAAATTTCTGATTTCTTTAGGCACAATTTTTAGTATTAGCATATGTATCAAAAACTTTCTACAACTAAATTCTGCTTTATAGAACCATAGCGCGTCCTTCATACATTCTCCCACAAATCCCAAACTTTCTAGTGTTACAAGTATTAATGAAACCTGCTTCCCTGGATTTACTACAAATGATGTTCTAAAATGTCTCCAGTCTCTGAACCCTTCTTGTAGCCTAGGTCCAGACGGTTTGCCTAGTGTTATTCCTAAAAAGGGTGCAGATATCCTGTGCTATCCTCTCATGGACATATTTAAAGAATCTTTTTCCAAAAATGTCGTGCCAGCCGCTTGGAATGACATTAAAATTGTACCTATTCCTAATTCGTCTACTGCGACATGTTTTAAATTTAGACCCATTGCTATCACTTCCCCTTTTCTAAAAGCTATGGAAAAGTTGCTCTTACTTAATCTTCAACCTTCACTTAAAGCCTTTAACGATCCCAAACAATTCGCCTACAAACACAGTAGAAGTACTTTAGATGCAGCTGCAGTCTTGTGTCATAACATTGTCTCCAGCTTAGACAAGGAGTCTAAATTTGTTCGCTGCACCTTTCTAGATTATACATCTGCTTTTGACTCAGTACCTAGGGACATTTTACTAAACAAGCTTGCTGAAACTCAAACTGACTGTTGGGTTGTCAAATGGTTCCATTCTTATTTCTCAGAAAGAAAGCAATACACTGTATGTCAGGGGAAGTCGTCCACTTCATTGCTTACTGAGGCTGGTGTCCCTCAAGGCGCTGTCCTTTCTCCTTTTCTGTTTTCTTTCTTCTTGCATGACTTGCCTCACTGCGATGAAATGAACTTTGTTAAGTATGCCGATGATCTAACTATTTCAATGTCTGTTAACTCTCAGCTTGACTGCATTAAGATTAACAACTTTCTATCAGGAATTAGCAAATGGTCTTCGTCTAATGGCCTTAAACTTAATCCTTCCAAATATCAGACTGTTAATTTCAGTTTCCGATGTAAACGAAAGTTAAATGAAGCCGTTGGTTCCTATGACCCTTGCAAAATCGATGATACTGATATAGAAAGCAAGTCTGAAGTTAAGTATCTTGGATTAATTCTCTCTTCTGACCTATCCTGGTCCTCTCATGTCTTAGCGATTTCTAAAAGAATATTTCGTTTGACTTTTTACATTAAGAAGTTAAGGCACTCAGGCATAACCCAACCACTCCTCTTACAGTTTATCAACTCGTGTATTTTACCTATTCTTCTTTACTGTTCACCCTTATTCTTTCCTGGATTGCTTAAAAAGGACTATGTCATACTTCGTAGAACTCTGAAGACTGTCAGTAGGACGAGTGGTATCCCATTGGGCCATATCGTTGACATTGTCACTGATAGGCACTTGATGTCATGCAACAAATTCGCTAAGGGAATTTTGTCAGACTCTGAGCACCCACTCTACCCGCAGCTCCAACCTTGTGTCTCCTCAGGTAAAACAAGAAGTCTTTTCAGAAGAATTTATGCACGTACGTCTAAGTATAAAAATTCCACTATACCATATTTAGCACGTACTTTATGTGATGAAAATAGTGTCAGACATGAACTAACTAACCTTCTTTGCACTACTAAATAAACCATTTCCTTTACCCTTAAAGCATCATTCTTTATTGTTATTGTATTTCTTATATTTATGATCCTCTCAATTTTTTGTTTTTGTTTATTTTTTTTTTTTCATAAGTGTGGACATAATTTTAAGCTGTATTATAACTGTTAATTTTGTATTTCCCCTCACTATACTATATCAACAGAACATTAGACCCAATAATCTATAACATGCTAAAGTTCCCAAACTGAATCGACAATACCGTTTGAAACAAACTCACTGTTATTATTATATCTAATAATTATGTCGTAAATGTGGACAAATTCCTCCGATTAATTTTATTTTATATATATTTTGAGTAAATCAGATGCAATATTGTGACAAATGCTGAGAATTCCATTCTGTATTATAAGTACTGTTTTTGGAATAAAGTAAATTATTATTATTATTATTATATACTCTTATGTTTAATTTTTGAAGTGTTACTGCGTATGAATTCATCACTGGTTAAATGATAGATAAACTTTCCACAGTTCAGAAATGAAAAAAGCTTTTCTGCTCTTAATTGTTAGAATTGTCTTTCCATCTATCATTTTCACTTCGTCTGTTCATTTACAGTCATGCACTATTTGTACTGACTAATACGTTACTGCAAATAATAGATCAGTTAAGTATAACCTTTAAAATTCAAGCAGTTCTTTTTTAAATAGTATGCTTAATAAAATATTATTTCCAAAAACATCATATCCCTATCTCAAGGTAGTTGTGTGAATAACAGTATAGATTCTGTTAAATTAGCCAAACGTATACACCACTGCTAAAGAATGACTCTTCTTTACAAGCCTTTATGCATCTCAGTGAATCACATGAATGTGAAAACATTATCCAGCTTGTGGTTCAGAAAATTTATTAGATAAATATTTTATTTTGGTTGCATGCAAATGCCTTGGTAAAGCGGTTGACTAGTTCATTGTGAAATGCAATCCAATCAGTCAGATCGTACGCTATCATTTTGTATTCAATTCTAAAAGCTTCTCTCCCAACGACTGGTAATCCAGTGATCCTTTTATTTTGTTTATTTATTCGCCTACTGAAAATTCTGTCAGTAGTAGGACAGGATACTTCATTTTTACAATTTTGTTAGTCACATTTTTTAAAAAGATATTCAATGGTTAAGTAGTAACATTACTTTCTTTTCACTTTATAGAACGGAAATATCAAGTTTAAAACAATTTCTTCGTGAAGCTGAAGCTATGAAGGCTGAAGCTATCCAACTTCGAAAAGAAACTGAAGACATGCAAAATGTGAAGAAATTAATATCCTGTATGTTTTCTTTTTCACTCTCATTCTATGTACAGAATGTATAGGTAGACAGATTTTCAACCACTATACTTTAGATTGAACACAGTTATTATTGTGAGTTCTCATCACATTATTAGAAAAACAAAACTTTCCGCCAGCATTTTTGCAGTGGCTGCACTTCACGCTAACCTAGAGAAGTAGTTTACCTCTATGGTTTTAAAAATGCAGTAGAAAATCTCGCGTGCCACATCTGCACTGATTTAACCATTCAGTTGTTTGGAATTCTATCTGTCTTGCAAAGCCCTTTCGTACATTAGTGTTTCAGAGTATATCACACTAATAAATAACTCTTGATTGGAATTTCAGTAACTTGTATGCCATCACAACGTAAGAAGATATCGTCCACATTAGTGAAGATAAGGTACTATTACTCTTGAAAGCAGGTTTATACGAATATCATCTTGAAAGGTGTCACACGAATGTCATCAATTACGTTTATATTCCTACACAAAAGCGATAAGAAATAGTGATATGCCAACGGATATATTGTGCTTGTAGGTGTAGCACCATAAATTTCACGAACACTTTCATTTTTGCATACGATAAATATTCAATATGGAGAGATTTATCTCATTTCTATCGTTAACATGAAAGTACCTACTATTTATTTGACAGTTTGCTCAATGTAATTCATTTTTTGACCAGTGTTTATAGTCTGTTAATTATGTCTATATCTTTTGTAGAATTCATGGTATATATAAGTTTGAATATTTATTACTAGTATCACTCCTTATTCTTTTGCGTCCCAAGTGTAACATAGGGCTTCAGGTTTTGATGTTTCAGTAGCAGTGGTGTTATTGTTTTTTACAGGGTGTGCTTTCCATCCTCACACCCAACCTTAACTCTTCGTCAGGTATTTTAATACTGGTTAAGTGAGGTTTAGGTGTGCATCGGCCAGGGTTCGAACATCGGACCACGCGAGCATCCTAACGCTGAACCACCGACGCATAAAGCCAGGGAGTGCTGAACAACTCTTCCGTCCCAGTTTGGGACTTTTTGGCAGTACACATACACCGGAGTTCGAACCCAGGACCTTCCAATTACAAGTCAAGCTTGTAAACACCTCATCGCCGGGGAGGCGGACTCGAACCCACAACCGCCGGGGTAAAAATCCGACTCGCTACGTGGACCGTATTATTTCAGTAAAGCCTGATTTATACTCTCGATTTTCCCTATGGCTTAAAATCACCCACTTTTAATACCGATGAGGTGAGTATTATATGTAGTCATCGCCATGAAATATACCTTCATTACTATGACATTAAAACTAATGCTATTTTTACTATTCAATATAGCATCAGAAGACGCTGCACGTGAGTTATTTTCTCGGTACACATCGAAATATGAGGATTCATCGAATGGTTCGTTAAATAAAAGTCAAAATAATTCAGAATTATTATCACTTTGTAAATGGGCGTCTGTTTTACGATCAGAATTGACAGCTACGCGTGAAAAACTTAGAAGTTATCGAACAGAATTATCTCGTGTCCGAAAACTTCAAATTTCTGCTTCACAAAAAATAGCACGTGCTGAAAATAATGCCAATGAATACAAACAACGTGTTCATACTTTAGAAAATGAATTATCGAAATTAATTGGACAAATCCACTCGACTACTATTGACAAGAACGAGCAACAAGTTGTATCATCGAATAGTCCTCATAATCAGACAACATGTAAAACGCCTACTGCATCAATTTCCTGTCGTCCTTCTACTTCATCTGTGTCTCCTGGATGTTCATTAGCTCTGAATGATAGTTCGTTAGTTACACCACCGGTAAAACCAACAACTAAAGAATTAACAACACCTGATTTTCTGTTACTGAGTCCATGGGAACAATCAGCTACTGTCACTCCAAAGGTCAGTAGTCATTTGTTATTATTATCATCAAACTTTTATCAATATCTAGCTAAAGTTACATTAAAATTAAGTTAATAATGATAGTGTTTGGTACGTGGTTTATATGAAGGCTAGTGATACAATCTATTTGCCAATATTCGGCAGTGGGTGTGCACAGTTTCAACCTCGTAACTCATAGACTAGAAATGGAGTTCAAATTAATTGGCGTCAAGATTTGACAGAATAGTTCTAAGATATTTGGGCGCCGAGTGAGAAGTAAACATTTGTAAGATCTCAACGAGATTGAAGTGAGTAATCTTGCTGAAATTTTACAAATATAATCTTTAGAAATGGAGTTCTTAAACAAATGGACTGTATCTCCATACTAACCGCTATTCGCCCAAATTTATTACATATAAGGAACTAGAACAAAGAGTATTTACGCTACTTTTAATTGGATTTTATATTATCTTATTTGGACAAATCTTTGCGCAAGCACCACAGGTAGGAATATCTTATAGATATAAATTAACTTTACTAAGAAAGGATATGATGTGCACTTCACATGTACGGATTGATGAATTACTAGTGATTAGTATTGCTGCGAAGTCTTAATTACTAATTAAATCCCGTCTGTTATACATGCAGTGTAATCAATAAACGGGATGGCACTACACTGCAATGCAGCGTTTAATGTTAGGTGCGTAGAATCAATCAATAAAGATTCATAGAACTTGACTGGGAACGTGATGATAATCACTGTTTAGTGATGTGTATCTACAACCTTGAAAATCACTCATGTTCTTTTGGTGGAAACCGACACGAAAAGTCGATCAGCTTCCAATGCCACATGCATAAACTGGTTACTTAATCAATTAGTATTAAAAATAACTGTCATTATAGAGGAAATTTCGATCACTACTTATACTGTCGACCATTAATAATCTTCTAGAAGTTTCCTGTAAACTGTGATTGTAGTAAAAACTGCACTGACATGCCGATCATTCAGCGCCACAAAACGCCTTCAGTTTTGGGAAAAAATTTAGTTAACTTATAATAGTATGTGTTTTTGTGCGTCGGTGGCACAGCGGTTAGGACGCTCGCCGACCATGCACATGGTCCGGGGTTCGATCCCCGGCCGACGCACTCCTTTACCTCGCTAAGCCAGAAATAATGCTGGTGGAGAGGGAAGGTTGGGCATGAGGCTAGCAACACCATCCTGTAAAATAAACACTGCTACAGAAACTTCAAGCCACTAGCTTGATGCCCTAAGTATGTGTTTTTAATATTATATTACTCGAAAACATTTTACATGACCTGAAGTTATTGTGTTATGGTAGTTATTTTTTAGAAATTTATTTTCATTTTGATTGTAGACGGATTTTGTAACTCCTGCCAATCCATTTCGTGTTGCTCAGAAGCAGCCAGCTAGTCCTCCGAAGCTAAGTATTTCTACTTCACAAACTTATAGTCGTACTTTATTATTTTCACCTGAAATAAATGCTGTTGATAAAAATTCAAGTAAGAGCAGCCCAGCCAATCAAAGACGACCATCTAGCTTTTATCAAATGTCAATTATGCGTCAACATTCAAAAATTGCTGACAGGTATACTGTGCCGAATTATAATAATAATAATAAATCTGTCAATAGCAAACTTCAATTCCCTAAACCACTTGAAAAAACTGATGTGAAATTAACCAAGTCTATTGAAAATAAAGTAGACAGTAGTATTGGTGCTGGGGCGAAACGTGTAGTACACAGTGTAAAAAAATCTGTTTCATATATTTCTAAAACTTCTAAATTGGATAATTTTGTAATGAAGTTGTAGAGTGATCTTTCATTATTATTGTTTTTTATCATTTCAATAAACTATAATCAAGTATTTTCGAGCTTATTATTGATATATTGAAGACAAGATGGTTTGTTTGTGAGAATGGTATGGTGTAGTCAACTAAGAAAAATCTGTAGTATTGAAGTTTGTTCAAATTGAGCCGTTGAAAAATGGAAAACGCGTAAACGTTAGTCACGTTTTACCACCGGTGTATGCGTCCAATATTGTCGATGTTCATGAAGTTCGGGGTAGTGTAAGGAAAGAAACGGAAGTCAGTCTATAAGACTATGAAGCTCTATCGAGTCATCGCCATCCTTGACGAATAGGATTGGACTGAAAAAGACATAAAGGCAGTTAGACGAAACCATGTTTTCAATCCGGAGAGTCTTTGATTGTAGGTTGGAACCATGTAGGATAGTGTAGATTGCTTGCCTGGAGTCATGAGATGCTAAAAATTCATGGTTAGAGATTTTAGGAGATGAAGGATGTCGACGTCTACACACAAGATACACCGTATATAAACGCAAATTCCAACCCTCCATCTCCTAAAGTATTTACTCTGTCTGGGCCAAAGACAAATCAAAATACTAGATAAATCGTCCAAAATACGACACATACTCCAAGATCAGAAGCGAAGTGGGATGATGATTGATTAGCTAGCTAGGGATATTCCACGAATGTAACACAGCAGCGTGCCAAATGGCGTGGATGCTTAACCGCGAACTTTCAGCTTAACAAGTCAACTTAAACGATGAAGGTCAACATCCAATGTTCAGTGGATGCTCGATTCTAATAATTTACCGCCACAAGACTATCGGTGACATACATGACTTAAAATTGCTTTCAATGTAACATCTAACCAATCAAATACACTATCAAAGATATTAGACTATGTTATAAGACAGCATCATTGAATCAGACTTATTTTTCACTGACGAGGAAGTTCAGATGGTTCTCCTGAATGATCATCCATTGAAGAAAACCCAGAGATTTCTGAATACACTGATAATGACTAAAACATCAGTGACTCCTATTCTGTTGATTCGCTTTAAACATTTATACGTGGTAACTGCATGACAATACACTACAATGATATCTTATTTGATGGACTGCGAACAAATTAATTGCATTATAGATTACTTGGCTTAACATCAAATTTAACAGTTAAAGATTGATCTTGAAGAATTTAAAGTTTACATGCACTTTTCGAACCTTAGAATCTAACTATAGGAAGAAAAATTTAAAGAAGCATTTAGTTTTATTTACACAAAAATGAGTATATATATATATGATGGTACATTGAATTCAGTTTCTATTTACCGCGCTTTTTCGAGCTGTCTAAATTTTTACCTGTCATTGACTCATTCGCAGGGCATTCAATAATATATCTTTGAGGAATCCTGATAGCTGGAGCATAACCTTCAGGGTAAGATGAGTCTTCGAAATAAAGAGAATATTCGTCATGTACCTAAAGCATTTTTAAAAGACACGAATTAGAAATAATGTGCAGTTCGGTCCCCTAAGCTTTAATTTACTCTATTGTACAAGAGTTAAAAATACCCTATTGAATGAGGCAAGGTTTGAACTGATGACAAATAGTTAACAATCAACTGTCTAAGCGTCAGTTCAACACGAGGTGAGGTACATCATGACAAAAGGTAAAATCTACCAAGCGCTTGGCATCAACTGTATATTTTTCGGAGACCCATCAACTGTTTCGCTGCCTGAACCAGTTTACTTGATAACATTTTTTTAGTAAGTTGGTGTCTTATAGGCCTAGCGTTCCAGTGATTTATTACTAAACAAACTACAAAGTTCGACATTTTGGCGCGAAAGCTTTTGGTAGTGACAATACTCAGCATTTACACCTGTCATTTGGAAAAACGCACAGGAATTTTCTCGTTAAAACAGCCTTCTATGTGCTTATGACTACGATATAAGTGGTTTATGGACACATCTGTCTGTAGCAGAGGTCCTTAATTTTTTATCTCTATAATACCAAACGGCATACAAATCCAGGTCGTTGGACGTGTGTGCTGAAAACAAGGAGTTTTGTTGAAAAAGATTTCGCATAGAGAATACAATTGATCCTGTAACGCAACTGCACCTTATATGAAGCAGAGAGGAATTAAATTTCTTAGGCTCATTTAAAACTGACGAATGTCGAAAATACTATTTGATTTATGTATGACCCACTCATAATTTATTCAGCAAGACAGAATTTGTTATGAATAACCATAAAGATTATAACAAGCATGAAAAGTACTGTAGATCACACCTACATTGACACCGAAAGCTTTATAAATAAAATCTTAACCAATAGAGGTATTAAAATACCTAAATACTGAGATGCACATGCTGAATACTGCAAAAAGTATTATTGCAGAGAAATTTAGGAGTGCGTCGGCGGGGGCATCGACCTCGGACCACATACGTGGCGAGCATTCTACTGCTGCAACACCGATGCACTCCTATACCTAGCTTAGTTGGTAGTAAGCCCGGCAAAGAGGAGAAGCTAAACGTGAGACTACCGACCTCACCCTCTAAAAGAAGAGCCACTGCTACTGAAACTTCAATAAGCTCAAATTTGAAGCTCCATGTTCCACTTGGAATTTAAAAGAATAAAATAAGACAATAAATAATTAGCTTACGTGAGTTGGGATTTCGTCCACGATCGCCTTGTAGAAACACGTCGTTTGTGGATAAAGAGCTAAAACTGTCTATAAAAGAAAAATAATGTTTATGATAATGGTTAATATTAATTATGAATAGTAAAATTTCCTAAAATGATGTTAGGTTAGGAAAGTCAGGATGACGATTTTCTCTGTTTTCTGTATAGCACGATATCAAAAGCACTTCAATAGCAACTTTTACAATACGTACCTGAGATAGTAATGTAACTTCACTAAGAAGTCAAGTCACATACTTATGAGGCAGGAAAAAACTGAAGACTTATTCTACAGTTGGACAAAGTTTTCGTTGTGTTTAGAAATATACGAACAAATACTTAACAATAAACATCCAAATATATATTCTGCCATTAATGTATTGGACTTTGACAGGAAATGTCAGTCTATTTACTTGGGGGTTATTTATTGAATATAGTTGACTTTTAACCCATCCGTTTATCCTCAAAAACAAGCTGTTACTAAAATAGGTTATGTAGCAGCATAAAGAGGGTGTTAATTACGTGGCCTTTGCATAGATCAACATATGTGGTTGGGCTTATTTCGTATGATGAGCTTATTTTGTCTTATGCCATGACTCATAATTACATCCTACAATCAGAAAATATTGGCAAATTACTATTATTCCGAAGGAAAGTAGTTGCATTCATCGTATCACTATGTGAATCTGCTGACCCAGTTACAACTAACTGGTAATTACAGCATTAGAACACTCCTGAAAACTAATGAGAACATGTCTTCAGTTAACTCAAAACAGTGATTAGTGTAAAGAGAACATTATTTTCAAAATCTTCAGGCTCTACAGTCACGTGTGTGTGTGGGTGGGGTGGGGGGTAATATACGCATCAACTGTTACTACAATACAGTTCAAAATACGTGTGGATACGCGATACTTTGAATAAATATGATAATAAACCAACTATGAGATAACTAATAGAGTTTTCTTTGATTGGACACTAGTAACTAATGTGATGTGTCTAGTTCTTTCTTTGGTGCAGACTGAATTCTATCAGTCAGGTTTGCAATGTGGCCACCATTCTAGATAGCTCGCCATCACGGTGCACATTGATTTGATGATATTAGATGGTTGGAGGCAATCGGTAGGAAGTCCTGCCTAGACCTGGATTTCGTGCTCGTTGGCACTCCACCACTCAGCAAGGGGTATCTGCAACTTTGAAAGAACTCATGTCCCTTTTGGTATTCAAACGCGTGTCACACAGTGCTGTAGTCAGAGACGTTACTACTAAGCTATTCGGGCTTTCCATTGACCTCATGTAGGACTGTAGTGGATACTTTGATTGGACACTAGTAACTAGTGTGATGTGTCTAGTCCTTTCTTTGGTGCAGACTGAATTCTGGAATTTTCTCTGAATTGATCATAGATGACAATGAATGGTTTAAAGTAAAGTGAATTTTATTCGGTCTAATAAATGGACACAAGTGACTGTAGGATTAATAATCAAAGATAATTTAAGACGCTAAAAGGATTATTTATAGTTTTCACATAAAACTGTAGGACTCTTTGGTCTTAATGATTCAGTGTTTAATGATAAAATCATTCTACTGTTATTTAAAAATTATTTCTTAACTCTAATATGGACATGAGACTATAGAACCTGCGGAAACAGATATCAAGAAGAATCTTCTTGGTTTATTAATCAGTATTTGAATTTAGCCAACTTTTCTTAATAAAGATATGGAAGGCTACTGTTTGTCTTTAGATGAAATATATGTTACTAGGCGTAAGATCGCCATCACCTTGATTATCAAAATTAGGTGTTTAGTGATGTATCACAATCTTAAGCAAATATTTGAAATATAATAATAATAATAATCATCATTTACCGTGCCTTTTTTGAATATAGCTTCAGGGTGTGTGACTGGATTCGCCTTCCATTTAGGTAATGGTATCACTTTGGAGCGTGGTAGAGTATAACGCCTAAATACAGTGAAGAAATGGGTGTACGAGTGTGTATTCAGGTACATACAGTAAAGAAATTACATTATATATACACCTTAAAGCATAAAGGTTTATGACAGGATTCATGGTTAAATAAATTAGTTCAATTACAATGAATTGATGCGATGTACACTGCATAAAAACAACTGATAGAGTAAAAATCACCAAAATAAAATTCAGATAAACCGTTTATTATAATATCATCTGCACTACACTACACTCAGTGTGGAAATAGATGAAAAAAATGCACATAGCATGCATAAGAGTTTATTTCGAATACAATGAAGAATTCGGATATATGTAGTTAATGATGGGTACGTTAAACTAATGATGACAATAGTAACGCAAGAATCAAAAGATAGCTGATGAGTTTAAATGTGTGTGATATATCAACAGGAGACTTTGTTAAGGGCAGTAAATATCAAATATGAATAACTAAAAGAAAAATACTCACTTGGGCCTAGATATTGTGCAAAACAAATCAGTATGTGTTGAATTTTTTTTACCAATTATATAGAAAAGTTTTTCACATTGTAAAAATATATATATATAACACTGACGGCTGATGAAAAATATATCCTTATCATTTTCTAGAGTGATTGATAACTAAATGTACAGTAAACATCGAGAATTGACAGAAGTTCGAATTCATGGGTTCGTTGGATTCCATCCCAGTGACTCGATGGTCAACGAGCTCGCCTCGTAACCTGAATTCGATCCCTAGCGGGGTGTCATGGGTGTGTACTGATGAACAGTCTCGAGACTAGGGTGAAACGGCAGTAGTCCATGATTTTCAGTGGCTCTCTGATTGATTGATCAAACTTTAAAGTATTTAAGACATAAAAACTTCGCAAAACCGTTTATGAACTAACCAACAAAGGCTGTCTGGAACTTACGCAAGATTGATATACTGTTACACGCCTTGCTCTACATTAAGTAACGGGAGTGTTAATACTAGAACTGTTCTGCACTTAAATTATGGCATATTAGCTATGCTTCAAAATAGAGGGGGTTGGATACTAGCACTGTGATTTTCATGATAGGTAGTGAAAATTTTAAACACTTCACCCAAAACCACTAAGGGCAGGTTTCGTTAAATCTTTGATTAGCTGAGCTAGGAGTCTGATGGTAAGTTAGAAATCCTAAGGAAATCAAACGAATATGGAAAATATTACTAACAAATAACGGCCCACACCGATTCATGGGATAATGTATAGAAACTGACAGGGATAAGAAGAGTAGTAACGCAAAAATGATTATAGCATGACTAATAAAGACCTTAAGGCCTATATAGTACTATCATCTAAGCAAAGGATATCTAAAGCGCTACTTAGGATTCTTAAAATATCTGGAATTAGGGTGACATTTAGCTTACAAGCTTATCCTTGGACGAACTTGGTATCTGAGACACATCATGCGACTATTAATTATGCAATGATCATTTTATTTATCTCAGATGTATTATAAATTGCGTTTGGCAATGGGCTCAACCACTCTTAACCTTATATACTATCCAGTATCTGCGCGAAAGCCAAAAATACCTACGTAAAACGGTAAACCAGTGCCAAGGAAACATTAGTCAAATAAGCTACCGGAGGAATATATTTGACAGGAAGCCAAAAACATAAATTCCCGAGCCCTACGAGCGATGCAATGAAAAGGAAGCAAGCGAATGAAAGTAATAGTGAAAATAAACATGTCGAAACTGAATAAACTGAGTTCAGTAGGTAAAGATCAATACAATACAATCGATAGCTGTCTCAATCCAAAGCAATCTAATTAAAAGGGGTCACATAGGGTCAGCGTTTGGTGAATACATTAATTTATTTCATAATGGATATCAAATCCTAACTTCAGAAAAGCAAACTTACATTTTTCCTTCTTCAGCATCAACATCTTCAACTTCATAGATTGCCTTGTCGGTATTGTATGAAACAACCTCAGCTAAAATACAACCTTCAGATAGATTACACGCAGCGGCTACAACATCTGGTTCAGGAACAAGGGCAGCAACATGATCCCCAGGATCAGCAGCAATGTTTGGTGATGGTCCTATCGCACCACATAAAGCAGGAGGACTGAAATATAAGCACCTATGCATATATCACCAAACCAACCTCTCACCAGGTTTTCCAATCCAAAGTGGAATAGATTTGGCATTTTCTTGTAAGACTGACATTAGTACACCTCGACGAAAACTTTTTGGACCAACAAGTGATCCTAAAATCACCATAACATGAGTTAGTTCTACTCACTTATCCTATATTCTAAAGCACGAATTTCTGACACCTTTTCTAAAGCAGCCATAAGTGTCCTGTAAAAATTAAGAGAAGTGTTATTCAACTGACGCACGCTTTTTGTTGTTCAGCTTCATTAAGGGCTTGGGTATATAAAGACTTTAGCTGACTTTTATTAACTGTAATGGGCGTAAAATACAATAATAACAAATTAACTTACTTTTAGAACCACGTTGTTTAAACCGTAATTTATCAAGTGAATCCAGTGTCGGCTTCACAGTACTACAGTCAGCCTATTGAAGTTAAAATTATACACACTGAAACATACTATCGCTTGTTTACACAGGGAAAGAAGTTCATCAGCACGATCTTTCACTTCAGCTTGTTCCGGTAACATAGTGTTTACGAAGGCCATCATCAAATGTCAATCCTACAATATTGATAATAGAAGACAAGAAAAGTTAGGCCATCATTGAAAAGGGAGTGAATTTTACACGCTCTTCTTTCGTTTTGGCTTTTGTTGTGTTAAACGCTCCAAAAGTCTACAGATTAACTTTAAATCAGTTTATTCTGATCGAAGTGCAGTGTGATAACTGCAATGAGATAGTTTCATAGCATGTGCACAAACCTAACTCCTGCAGCATACAAGCGATGCTGCAAACCTCTAGCGAATTGGTTGTGCAATGACTGCTGTAGTACGACTAAGTTTCGTATAACAGAAGCCATTGCCACTTTCAGTGCGGCTCCACAGCTCAGGGATTGCAAGGGTCTTCCACCACAGGAGAAGACCGACTACTGCTCAGACACCGAAGACGCGACTAGAGTCATCGACAAAATAATACATGTTCCTGATGCATCTCTGTCAATGAGTGAGTGCCCTTCAGCACAGAAGAGCACCCACCATATTCCAGACACCCACGCTGCCCCCACGATACCGGATAAGCCCTCCAGTGATAGTAATGGAAAGACTGCCACGAAGAAGAGGCGTACCAGGGGTCGAAAACCTGCAACTGAAGTCGCCCGGGGACTGGTAGATCAAGCCTCATCCACACCAGTGGATAGCAGGCAGATAAAATCGACTACGATTAGCGTGGAGGACGCCAATGAATGGCGTAATGTAGTCTGTCGCAAAAAGCTAGATAAGGACAACACATCGGCTACGCTACCCACGAAGGACAAAAAGACATTTACGCCGCAGAGCAAGAAAGCCATGGCAAGCAAACCTGATCTCTCTGACGGGTCGCTCATTCTCCACAAAGTGGAAGAGTCACTGGCCTCCGATCCCAAGGCCAGATTCGAGCACGACCTTAATTTGGTCAATCCCCTCTTAGATAAGCTACTGCCAAAAACAGTATCAGGCATAACAATACACAGCGTATATAGAATCGGCCAAAAGCCTGACCCTACAGTAAATTAGCCTATACGTCTCCTCAAAGTCGTACTAAACTCCAAAGAAGAGAGGGATGCCATTCTAAGCAACTCTCAAACTCTTAAAGGATCAGGCATATATGTCCGCGCCGACTTAAGCCTAGCAGACAGTGTCAAAAGACAGTCTGCGGCCCTAGAATTAAGCGAACGACGTCGAAACGGCGAAAAGAACCTTAAGATTAAGGGTTTTCTTGTTGTCAAAGTTCGCAGTTTGATGATCCCGAAACCTCAGTGGGTAGATCGCGGAAGCACCAAACTGAATTGACAGTTCGCTACACAAACGCCCGCAGCCTTTTGAGCAAACGGACTGAGCTGGTTAATATGATAGACTCCGGAAATCCGGATGTAATTATCATCACAGAGACATGACTCACACCCGATGTTACTGACAACGAAGTTAACCTGCCAAGCTTCAAAGTGCATAGGGTGGACTAACTAAACCGCAAAGGAGGTGGCGTAGTCATCTACCTCAAGAAATGCTTGACCGTGCGTAGCATCGAAGCACTCGCTCACGGAAGTGAATCGTGCGAACTCCTACGCTGCAGACTTAAATGCATAGGCCAAGATATTGACCTCATTGCTATATACCGCAGTCCTGACTGCAGTGCAGATGACTTCCTAATAGAGAAGCTAGGCTCCTGGACTTCGAAATGTCGAAGTCTCGTAGTCAGCGACTTCAACGCCCCAACAGTTGACTGGACGAGCCTTACAGCGCCATCTTCAGTCAACTCCTTTGATCATAAACTGCTGGAATCTAGTATATCACCAGCCCTAGTCCAACATGTCATTAAGCCCATGGAGTGTGGCGACTCGAACTGCCGCACATCGGTGCAAAGTTCTATGTCGAAAACAAACAGACAGACAGACAGAAGCCCACGCGCTATGACTCACAGCACTCCTTCTCAACTCTGAACCTAGTGTTCTCCCACGGTGAGGATGTGGATCTCATACATCTTCCTCCTTTAAGAAGAAGTGATCATGCTGTGCTCACTTTCAAGTTCACAGCAACAGCAGCAAGGGCCAAAACCCCAGCTCAGTCAAACGTTTGGAAAGCTGATATAAATGCGATCGTCTCAGCAGCCAACTCAGTGAACTGGTACATTAATCCAGAGTCCCAAGCAGAAGCCGCATGGAACCAATTTAAACAACTTTACGCCCAAGTAACTGAACCTTTTATCCCTTGATCTGTCCCAAAGGGTCGAAAACATTGCCCCCCTTGGATAAACCGAGTGATTCGTAAGTTACTCAGACGTAAACACAAATGTTGGAACCTGTTTGCCACACTTGTCACATCATGCACACTACGTTCTTATTTTATTTACGTGAAATAGGAAACACTAGGTTAGTTTTCGAAAGAACAGCCTCTTAGCTTGTGACTATAGTAGAAATTACTAAGTGATTTAAAACCTACATAGAAAGTAGATATTGAATTTCCAGAGAAGAAGGAAAAAGTAGGTATCTCATTTCTTATCTTTCCTAACGTTTTCTTCTAGGGGAAGAGCTCTTTACCCATGTGCATTTCCCGACTGAATATATTGTAGTACACGAGTGTTTGATCACTGAAACAAATTAGCATCATGACTATGATTTAAAATATCTAAGATTTAAAAGACAAAAAAGTAAGTACGTTCGCCAAATTGTGACTAACTTCATGGCATTATACTCTTTCAAGTAATAACCGAAAAAGTTGAGTTTTTTGATGATTTGAATTGCTTAAAACGGTAACTCCACAATTGTGATGCTATTAAAACATTATTACCTCAACAACTAGAATTTTTATGCTTATTGCCTAATTAATTATTTCGTAGCCTTACTTTGTGAGGTTGACCAAGTGACCTTGAAAAGTAGGTTCTCGATTCATATCATCCACCTTATTCAATATTTAGATTTAGATTTATTGGTTGAGGATAGAAGGCTTGGAGCCTATGTTAATCCTTTTCTAGTAAATTTCTGTGGTTGTCCAAACTCTTCTTGAATGAATCAATTGAGGTTGCAGACACCACTTCTTCTGGGAGTCGGTTCCAAGAGTTTATGACTCGGTGTGAGAACCAGCACTCAACAGCAATATGATTTCTTCTTGGCTTTTGAACTCTCCTGCTATGTCCTCTAAGGTGTTCCGACCTGGTGGGAAGGAAAAGAGAGAATAGGTCAGGTCCGTAGTCATTATTTAAAATTTTAAACATTGTGATTAAATCTCCTCTCTGCCTACAGTATGACAGGGAGAAGAGATTTAAACTGTCTAGTCTTTCCTCGTATGATAAGTTAGTCATGCCGAGAACCATACGTGTTGCCTTCCTTTGAACCCTTTCTAGAATATGTGAGTCCCCTTTAAGACAAGGACTGGCTGCGTGGATACAGTTTTCCAGTCTTGACCTCACCAGAGATGTATATAAGGAGGTGAAGATATCTCTGGTGATTCTAGTAAAGGCTCTGCGAATTTCCCATAAGGACCTGAAACTACGTGCAGCCACCGCGCGACAGTGTGCTGTAGTTTTTAAATCGTGGCTAACTATGACACCTAAGTCCAAGTGAGTCTGAACTGATGGAAGTGTTATTCCCTCTAGTTCGTAGGAGCTGGTGCTTGCTTGTCCGATGCGCATGGTTGCACATTTTGCCACATTGATCGGGAGCATCCATTCTCTGGACCACTGACAATTTGTTGAGGTCATCTTGCAACGTGGACGTATCACTGTTGCCCTTCAGCTCTCTCCAAATTTTTAAGTCATCTGCGTGTAGGACCAAAGGGGGATCGGTGAGCAGAGATAACTCATTGATATACAAAATAAATAGGAGAGGTCCGAATACCGTGCCTTGTGGCACTCCACTACGCACTGCTGTCCAAGAGGAGAGTTTCGAGTTGATCCTAACCCTCTGCCTCCTATCTATGAGGAATTCCCTGAGCCAGTTTAGTAATCTGCCTTTGATACCAAGACTTTCCAACTTCATGAGTAGTCTTTTGTGAGGAACTTTATCAAAGGCTTTGATGAAGTCTATGAAGACGATGTCAACCAGCCTTCTGTTGTCCCTGGTTTTTACCCAGCTTTCTCTTGCAGTGAGAAGATTTGACAGGCATGAGAGGTTCCTTCGGAAGCCATGCTGTGCTCTAATACCATAGTGTAAACCAACTTGATTTCTTTATGCTCTCTTCTTGGTAGTGTGGTGAGTATTCCGGCAAAGTCCAACAGTAGCATGCTAGTCGTTGGCTAACGGCATCATTCATTATCATAGCTGAAATATCAACGCTATTCACCAACCTGGAAGCAAATTTCACCCAGATCACGTTTTTAAGTACTGTTTGGACAATGTGTAAATAGCTCGTTAGGATTAGGATTAGGGTTAAGGTAAGTATTAGGGTTAGGATAAGGATCAGGGTTATAATTAGCATTAGGGTTAGATTTACGGTTTGGATAAGGGTTATGATTAGCGTTAGGATTAAGCTTATGGTTACGATTAGGAATAGATTTGGAGCAGATGTCATTTATTTTAATTTGTTTTATTATCCACGTTTTCCTTGTAAGTAGTCGTCTATCCTCTTGCTGGAAACCATAACAGTTCAACCAAAGGCTTCATTGGATGACTGCAAGCAGAATGAGAGAGATAAACGATCAAAAAAACAGCTTATCTGTGGCCATGTCGGTGAATACATGTACAGAAACTAGTCTAACTTAGCAACTGATACTCCTCGTTATAACTAGGACGTACTTTTAAGCCATGTCAGAGAAAGATAACCTGTTTAATGTATTTTCATGCATTTTCTTTTAAATATACATCATTTTTTGAGCAAACATTCCTCATTTTTATGATCAGTCAGCTGAAGGTCACTCGTGCGTTCGCATTCCTGGGACGCTATTGTCGAACTTTGCCAATATTCCTGCTCTTTGGTAAGATTCTGTGTAATTGACGCCGCCACTCGTCTGTCGTAGCTTTGGTTGACTCCAAAAAGAGGGTTGGTACTTGGGTTAAATGTATATCGTTTGTAGTATGTGGTGTGTTAAGACTGTTACTACTGTGAATGGAGGTGATCCTTTCACCAGTTAGTCCTCCACTGTCGTCAACAAAAGAAAAGAGATAATAATGATAGATACAGACAGTGTAGGTCATACAGACTAGAAGACAGAAAAAGAATTAAAGAAAAGGTATTAACAGACCGCTAATTAAATTTGAAGTTGATATGTATACATATAATATCAATAATAATAAGTGCAAGTGTAGTAGTTGGAGCAGACAGAAGAGTAAGACAAGGGAGAATGTGAGGAAGTAAAACGATGAGCTTAGGTATCTACCTATTAATAGGGTATGAGATTTTAAGCGGATAGGCCACTTGGACTCAGTCCTTGTGTCGCTGCGTGATTGTCCAGTTTTCGCTTAAAGGTGTCCACAGACGGTGCCGTAGCTCTTTTCAACTCCCTTGGCAGTCTCCCGAATCCATCCAGTGTTGGAATAAGTTGCATATGGGCCTAAAGAGAGCTCCACCGCACTGTTTCATTACAGATGGCCTAATTTCTTCACAACCTGGGGACTTTCCAGATGTGAGTCTCTGTAACTTCCCTAGCACTATTGCCGGGTTTATTTGGGGTGTGGCCAATTGGTTTTCCTCCGGTGAAGTAGTAGTGCTACTGTGGTGAGAGCTGTCTACTAGCCAAGTGGTGGACAGTAATTGAGGTCAATGTTTATGTATCAAATATTAGTCATGTTGTGGTGAGAGATGGTTGCTGGCCAAATTGGTTGACAGTAATTGAGGTCAAAGGTCAAGGTGGACAGGCGGATACAGTTAACATATAGATGAACTGACACAGCCACAAGAGATGCAAGGTTAACTTTGTGTGAGAAACAACCAATCAACAGACTGTATTCTACTAACATTCTACAATATGTACATAAAAATCTATAAATACGTGTTGATTTTTCGTAATAAACGATCTGTTGCCTGGCCTACCATTTTGGTCCGCACCAGTAATACCCATATTGCTGTTTAACTGTTTAGCCAAGGCTAGATTGAGGGTTCCAGCCATCTCCAAATTAGTGAGCTATAGAAAATTCGGACCCACTAAGGCACATGCCCTCTGGTTGGTTGGTTTTCTCTTCGACATGAATCGGTATGGGCTTTCGGGGTCCTCCAGGAGATTTTCAGCAAGATTAGCCTGAAATGACCTCCCGTCACTCCTCACACACGCTGCGCCAGTTCCTGATTTCCAGGTATACGTCGTGATCGGTCTGACTCTTGGATACTCGCCACGTACACCAAGCCTTCCGCTTTGCTTGTGGAACACGTTTCGTACCTCTCTTCAGGCAGGAGAACCTTCTCTTTGTGACCAAAGGGACGGTATCCGAGATTGCTGCGTGAAAAATCACTTTCACCGCTTCCCAGTGCTCATCCACAGATACTTCAGCCCATTCTAAGGGCCATCCTGCGTCCAAAAAAGGCCTCCACATTTCAGCCTAGTCCGCCTTGCTATAACACAGACATGGTCGCGTAATGTCCCACTGTAAGCATTCACAAAGAGCAAGATCGAACCCTATGACTGAGTGGTCACTACTGCCTGGAGGAGTCATGATTTGGACCTTTGTGACTAGCAGCTGGTCACTAGTTAGAATATAATCTAGTTTCGATGACTTTACACTAGGGCCCCACCTAGTGTCGTCTCCAACATTCTCATTCAGTCCTGTATTTCGAATAGTTTGCAGCAGATTTCAACCGAATTTTCCTTGAGCATACCCCGAGCAGACGTTTAGTGATGGAGCATTGAAATCTCCAGCTATAATGATTTGGTCATAGCCTAAGTCCCGTATCCCTGTGATGGTGCTGAGCAGTAGCTGGTTGTGAGCAGCTCCACAGGTGGGTGATCAGTAGATGCCACCCAGTGAGTGCTTGGTGTAGCCTACGGTTGGCTGTTATCCCATGGCCGACCACTTTCCGTTCTTATGTTGGAACTGTCGGAGGCTAATATTTTAGCGAGTAACAATGTTTTTTCAGCCTCTTCGACAATGCCCAGTAGCACCCTTAATAGAGGCGGCTTACTCTGAGGTGAATGAACACCCGTGTACAGCCTGCACAATTTTGCTGAACTGATGTCCAGCCCAAATTTGTTGTCCAAATTAAACCACTGTTCCTGATAAACAGAGTTGTTTGTTCAAGCAGACTACTGGTACAATGAACAGGATAAGGGAATTCGACCGACTGACCTCAGACTTAAGTTTGGTCTTTGACTGCTTGTCCTCCATCGTAGGGTCACTTACTCATTATTTTATCAGGGTACGACTAGCCTTTGCTATGTTGCCATGCTTCCTAGTGTATGCAGGTAGTGCTTTGTCAATTCCATCTTTCCCTGATGTTGTAGTTGTAACTTTGGGAGTCTTCAGTTTATGAAGATTGGTATTTCCAGTCGGCTGGACTGGAGTGTCCTTCTTGCTATTTTTACCAAGATGTGGTAGTGTGGTGTTATCAGTCGGAGAGCCTCATAAGGCAATGTCGAGACACAAAAGTGGCACAGCCACGCTGTTTGGGACTGTGCCAGAGCGACAAAGTGGGTAGATGTACCAGAACCATGGACACGGGTTATTTCGCATAAACTCATGATATAGTTTTGGCACCCCTTTTCACAGCGGCAGTGTACCCATGGTTTGCAAACATTGCATTCAAATGCTGAATTAATTTTAGAAACGACAACACTATGGGCCTGAAATTCGCTTTCGTTTCTAGATGACGCTTTCAAGAATTTCTTTTTTGTTTTGCTGTGTGTGACGCACTGGCTCCCAGGGGATACAGGCGTAGTGTCAACTTCACCCGTCTTTGCCTGTGCTGGTTCAGTGCTAGACTGTACCGATGTAGCCGTTGTATCAGAATGGGGTCTTTAGAATCAGTATGTGAGGTGGGGTTGATGTCCCTGGGTTATTTCATCCTCTGGCGGAAGCCCTAGTCGAAACAAAATATGGTGTCCTACCGCTCTTTTTAAGGTTAGTTTTGACTGCCATATTATTATCAATTGTTCTTGTATCTGAAGCTTTTGTCTTATAGTAGAGAACAATTGGTTTTGACACTCCATTTTCTCTATGTTTGCTGGTTTGGATGAAGGATTTAGCAAACGTCTTCATATTTATACTTAAATGTTTAAACTCGGCTAGCAAGCAATATTGCCCAGTCTTTTAATTTCAAGTAGTTTTGTTAATTTTTGGAGTAGTTTGCCCTTAAATCTGGCGACTATAAAACTGTAGCGATAGGTAGTTTCTCAGAATTATTAGTCACAGCATTCATCACTGAATATTGGATGCTGACCCTCCATGTATAAGTCGAATTGTTTAGCTGAGGGCTCTTGGTCAAGCACCCACACCATTTGACGCGCTGTCGCGTTACATTCGTGCGTCGGTGGCACAGTGGTTAGGACTCTCGCCGACCATGCACATGGTCCGGGGTTCGATCCCCTGCCGACGCACACCCGATATCTACGGTCGGCCTGCGAAATTTGGGCTACCGATATCCATGCTGAAAATTCCATACTTGTACTGAAAATACGGTGTGGCATCAAGTTGTAATCAAAAATAAAATATTTAGCTAGTTAAGCAGTCTTTGTCACACCGTCGTTTGGTCCCAAAATAAAATTCATAATTTGGACGACCATTTTGGTGTCTTGCGTTTGCTATGACATAGAAGGAATGTTTGTACAAGTGAAGATTCCGAAAACAGATTGAGGAACATTTTGTCTGTAATGGAAGTATAGTGATTTCACTCAAAAAGCATCTAACTATGAATTAGCTGTTCATCCATTCGGTGGCATGTCACCTTTCTGTGCTAATTATGCCTTAAGAAAGACTGTTGAGACCGTTGGTGGCGGAAGATCAGGTGTCGTTCCCAGACTTGTCGAAAAGTGTTTCTGTGCGGATGACTGCTTAACGTCGAAGGATAAACGTGAATAGTCTATTTCCTTAGTTGGACAGATGAAGTCTACTTTTGACAGGCGAGGTTTAAGACTGTCGAGACGGGCCAACAACTCTAAACAAATAGTAATGTCGATACCGTCGTAGCAACTTGCATGAACATTGAGAGGAATAGATTCCGAAAAACGTTCTATGGAACGCATTTTGAGACTCGAAGGAAGACCGTTTATTTATAAAAGGCAAATGCCTGAAAAGCCTATTATTAGATTTGGAATTTTGTCAGTGGCAGACTCACTGTATGACCCTTTAGGCTCTTGGGACCTATACTTTTCCTAATGTGCAAATCACATTTAAACGATGCAAATCGGGTTTGAATTGAGGTGACGAAAGATAGTTTGGATCAAATTTCCGCATAGTTTTGAAATGATTGCGAAAGTGTCCTCCTTGCGTTGGGGTCTACATGGTCACAGGTCAGATAATGAGGACCGTATCCTACAGCTTTGAGCGGATCACGACCTTTTTCTAGCCAGCGCCAACTTCCGGCATATCCATCACCGTAGCGTTACCTGGCATCCTACGGTGAAGCCTTCACTCGAACTGATCAGACTCCTGTCACTTTCCGGAGGCAAGGATGCACAGAGGACTGCCTTTCCTTTGGAGTACATTTCTGGAATCCTGTGAAGCTATAGTGTGTCGCCAGGTTTGGTGGTGTTCATAAACAGTGTCCCGTACAGGTGGATTGAAACAAACTTTATATATTGTTGTAAGGCACATATCTTTGTGCTCATACTGTATCAAGCTTGTGTTTTCAATAATGATCATAGCTTACCTTTGGTAGGAACAAATCGCACACTAAGCATATCAAGACTTCTTCTCAAGGTGTTCAGAAGACTTTGCATGTTGTCATCGTACACACCTAGAGGGACATTATCATCTACATGCTATAAATCGACAAGACTGCTCCATCGTAACAAATCAATCTCGGAGTCTCTATATTTGCTTAGGGTCACATCGATTAGTACATTTATGATAAAAATAAACAAAAGCGGAGACATTAAACATCTTTGACTGACACCACTAGTTGTCATCACTTTAGATGACAACTCTCAATAAGCTCTTCCACGGATGCATTGGTCCAACTATAGGAAATACACTTTATCGGAACTGCATTCACGGTCAGACATTACCAAAACACCTCTTGGTTGACAGAGTCAAATGCCACCTTCAGGTTGAGATACATGGCAGTTGTTAGACGTCGGTAACTATGCTTATGTTCCAGAATCTGACGATAGGTGAAGATATCGTCAATAATTCGTGAATATATCAATTACAAATCTTTGTATGCGCGTTTTTTAAATTTTTTTTAACACTGTACAGTGTCTATGGATCACAGCAGCGAACACGACAGAGAATGTAAACAGATAGTTGGATTTATGTGTACGTTACACAATAGTTGAATTTCAGTTCATCGTAATATGTTTCAATACTAGATAAACTAGAATATATCACAAGGCATTAGTAGTAGGTATTATTATTTCTTCAAAATAAATAATATGATGAATTGAATGTGAAAGAAGAAAAACAAAAATAATATGACGCATTCATACATTTGAAACAAATAATGAAAGAGAAGGAAATTACATATACTTGAGAGATTTTTTTTAAAAAAAAAGCCTAGTAGAAGGCGACCGGAAGATAAAATGAAGCTGAAGAATGAAAATAATCGCACAAATTATAGATGCATAACTACACAAAAAATAATACAGTTAATGACTGAAAATATCAAGTAGGCGAAATAATGTGAGAATTTGTTATTTTCATGATCAACGATTGTTTGGATTGTGATGTCGCACATGACGAAGAATGTCTTTTTTAGTTAACACACCCAAAGGACATCTAAAATATAAAAAAGGATATATATATATATATATAGTAGATTAAATACATAGTACGCCAAACATTTGAGATCTGTGAGTCATCTATTTACAAGAATTCTATTCAAATGTATCAAGTTACACCACCAGCTGATAATAAGAGATAACACTCAGCGATAGTTTTATTATTAAAAGAAATGAAAACTTGAGAAGACGTAAAGCTCATTAACAGCTAGCAAGGAATAGGGAGTGTACTCTAAGTTTTCCCACACACTAAGCATGACTAAATGCCTAATACAGAGTAATACTCTACACATGGTGCCTGATCTGTATTCCTCTGACACTAATTTTATAAAACAATTAAGCATTTTGAGGGTTTGTGTCTGCTATTAACAAAATCTCAGTGAAATTACAGTTATGCTGTTGAAGTAGTTCGTTTTTAAAGTGATAGGAAAGCACATAGTATACTGCGGTCAATTGAACCTTCACCCAAATGTCACCACCTTTCCAATATCTGACTACTGATTGCACTAAACGATATATAGCAAATTTAAAGACCAATGATTTGAGGTATGCTGCTGCTGCTGGATTCAACATAGAACTTGGCACCGAAGTGCAGCAGTTCGAGTTGCCACGTTCCAAATAGCACACAAAGGTAGACAAGAAAATGAGAGAAGAGAATCAATAGAATTTAGATAAGTATAAGAGTGAAACAGAATGAGTAATGGTAGAAAGGAATATGAAAGGTTACAGAGACTGAATACATCTGCGTAAGCCATTGACAACGATTTTGAGCCATGTCACCTATTGTCTCCAGCCATTGATTCTTAGAGTCCTGAGGGCCCCAACCCGGAAGTCTGCATCTCCCTACCTGACTCAGTTTAACTGTCAGGGATTTCATGGATTGATGCCAAGTTTTTGTTTGGCCACCACTTACTCTTTTCCAACCTGCACCTATATCAGCTAGTAATGCCCGTCGGGGGAGACGATGGTTAGGCATGCGCAGCACGTGACCTAACCATCTCAATCTATGTAGCTTCATAGCCTCTTCGAGTGATTTTCCCTCTTTGCCCAACACTCTACGCCTAACGTCAACATTACTTACCTTATTATACCGATTTGAGGTATAAACTTACAACGCCTAATGTAACAATAAATATTTATTGTGCAAATCTGAGAGAGAGAATACTTTTCATCAAAGTCCAAAATATATCTTACCAATATGATATATTGGCAAATGTATACTAAACATGTAGATACCCTGTGTCGTGTGCTACTGATAAGATTTATCAGTAGTATATAAAGAGACGTTCATAGACATAAGAATATCAAATAGCGGAGAGATAGATTTGAAGTCAAAAACAGCAAATGATTCAGCGTTGCGGCATAACATGGAAGACACGAAAAGAAGACAAAGAAACGCAATACGAAGGGCAGAAGTAGCACAACATGGAAGATCTGTGTAAATGACGATTTGGAGATAAGGTGTACATAATTTCGCTATATATAGAGATACCAAATTCCAAATAAAGATTCCTTTACCAAGTCTCTTGTCTTCTACCATTACAATAGTACATCTAAGTGTCAAGTCTAATTGCATCTTTAGATTAACAAGTCACCATACGGATGACTGTTTAAAGGATAAAATTTGTATAAGAAAGAGATGAATTCATGAAGAACATGTTATCATCTAGTGTATGAAATAATCCTGAGTATTAAGATGCAAGAAAGGTTATTTCAGTTACGAAAAACACCGCTGCGCATATGATGTCTCCGTATTCAATAATCTTAACAAAGGACAAAAAGGATGTTTGTTTGCAGAATTGTCCAATTTTGTTTATTGAGCTGTGACATGAAATCTTTACCCAGTGAATCGCGGTTTCAAACCTGATTCCTCCTAAAGAATTTCGGAAAGCTGGGTATCAGAATCACCAGCCCTCATGAGATACGTTAGACTGTTGAGTGACATTTACTTTTTTCAGTTATAAGCAATGAACGTAATTCACTTAAAGAATAGATTAGTTATTTTGAATAAATGTATCACTATTTCAACGCATTTATCAGAATAAACGTATATGTATCTCAAAAACACACATAAATATGAGGATAACATATAAAAGAATATTTTAAGCACATTTAGGGTTCTTTGCTTTCTGCTTTCGCCAGTGGACACCGATCTTCCAACGAAAGCAGAAATGCTCAATGTGATCAAGCTACTGAAGTCCATTCTGGAAGGCAGCAGGACCAGACGGAATTCCCCCACTCCAAAGCACTGAAAACGGACCTAGAGACTGCAGCAGATGTTCTCACATCATTACTGCAAAAGGTTTGGAAGAAAGGCTACCTCGTCAAGCTACCAAAGGAGGGCAACTTAGGCCTCTGCAAAAACTAGAGTGGAAAAATGCTCTTGTCCACGCCAAGTAAGATACTAGGTCGCATCATCCTGGAGAGAATAAAAGATGCACTGGATGCAGAACTCCCCCAGTACGGAACAAGCTGGATTCAGGAAAGGCAAATCACATGCGGATCAAATTGCTACTCTACGTATCATCATCAAACAGAACGTCGAATGGCAGTCAAATCTGTACCTTAACTTCATTAACTTCGAAAAGGCCTTCGACAGCGTGACCCGAGAAGCAATTTGAAACTACTTCAACACTATGGCGTTCAGTGGCCCCAAGTCTTTATCAACCTCATTCAACAGCTATATGACAAGACCACGTGTCATGTGATCTACAGTGGAAAACTCAGGGAAGCTTTGAAGTGACGACAGGAGTAAGAAACGACTGTTTATTATAACCAATGAAAATCCTAATTGTGGTGTATTAGATTATGCATCGGACTGTGCATAGGGAGCCAGAAGACAGGAATACGCTGAACCGACAAGAAGATCTGGATTTCGCAGATGATTTATGTTTAGTGTCACACAAACTCGTAGACTTGCAGGCGAAAACCAACAAACTGGCGGAAGGAGCAGCGAAGAGAGGACTCCAAGTGAACATAGAGAAGACGGGGGTGATGAAGATAACCAACCAACAGTAAAAACAACCAGTATCAGTCGCTATCAACAGAAGAAATTTGAAAGAGGAAGCAATGCTTCAACTACAGGGGGAACGGATGAAGATATCAAAGCCAGAATCGGAAAGGTAAGATACACCTTCAACACTCTGAAATCAGTTTGGAAATCATCTGCACTCCGCGGCATACAGAACAAGATTCGGATTTCCAACAGAAATATGAAGTCAGTTTTTCTATACAGGTCAAAAACTTGGTGTGTCAAGAAAGCATATTTCCAAAAGTCCACTGCAGACTTTCATCCACAGCTGCCTTCGCTGGCTCCATACTGAAGATCAAATGGCCGGCCAGCCAGAAAGAATTAGTAACAAGAAACTCTGGCTGACAACAAACCAACCAAGAGCCGGTAGCTCAACAAATATGTGGGAGAAAATGGAGATGGATTGGCCATACATTGGGGAAACTGTCGAATGACATCGCGCGCAATGCAGGCCGTCACTCTAGTGGAATCCCAGTGGGAAGCAACGAGTGGGTCGTCAGTGTGAGGGTGAAATGGAGGAGATCGTGTGACGAGGATGAGATGAGAGATTATGGTCAATCGTGGGCCCAGCTAAAGGGGAAAGCAGAAAATATAACAAAGTGGAGGCGTGTTGTTGAAACCCTATGTTCCACTCGGAACCCAAGGGAATAATAAATTTTATTTTATTCCTTTACGTTCCCAGTAAAACATAGGCTTCAAGCTAGAGCTTCGAAGTTTCGGTAGCAGTGGTGTTTAATTTAAAAGGGGTGAAGTTGCTAGCCTCATGTTCAACCTTCCGTCTTTACCAATCTTATTACTGGCTTAGCAAGGTAAAGGAATGCGTCGGCCGAGGATCGAACCCCGAACCACATTCGTGGTTGGCGAGCATTCTACGGCTGTGCCACCGACGCAAGGAATAATAATAATGATAATAAATACAGTTCTTCGTATAAGACTTTTGTAATGAAATAAAACCTACTAAATTTCATTTCAATGTAGACATTGTTTACACACATTTATTATTGACAGACTATAAAGTTAGACATTGTTTAACAAATTGTGTTCATTACATGTACAACTCAATAACAATTTTATATAACACTGATAAATTAATTAAATAAAGTGGAATGCCACTTACCCATTACGTGTAACAATAATCTGTCGAAGGCCTAATTTTCTGAAGAAATCTAGAACTGTTTCCATCGGTGTTTGGTCAGACACTGTTGTCGGAGACTAATGAACGAAAGAAAGAAAAACAACAAAGTGAAACATGGAACGCACAGACACATTAGGCCTAATAATATTTCTGGAATAATAATACACAAAACTATAAAATCTTACTGATTACAAATTAACCAAGTTATTTAATAAAGCTATTGCTGTACAACACTAGAAAAATAATAATTAAAAAAAGCCATAGGATTACTATGCATTTTGAAGTTGGTAGGCTGAGTGAATTAAACCAAAGATTGACAGGTTTATTGTCAGTGAATACAGTAAAAAAGAATACCAGCCATGAAGTATTTTGTAAAACTGTCTGGCTGTCCGTATGTATCAATGCATAGCCTTCCTTTCAATTTCAAAACTGGTTTATCAAGACTTCAAAGTCAGGGAACTACTGTGATTTTATATACTAACCACATCAAAAAATAAACTACAAAGCGACGAGCTGCATGAAGTATAAAAGCTGTCCTCTGAGTGTTTAGCAACGTACCCTCTAAAATTCAACGACATAACCCTTGATCTGAATTACACAGAAAAAACTGACTAATAATAATATGTCTTTTCTGTGTCTTGCTACCTAGTGAAGTGAACAATGAAAGAAGAGGCTAAGTTAACAGTGAATCAAAGCACAAATCGAAAGCCAATCAAGAGAACCACTAGAAAGTACGAACGATGCAGAAATCAACTAAAAGTTACACTCTAGTCGATGAAACTCAAAAAAGTACTGTCACGACGAACAGGAAACACACTAAAACTCAGTGTTTTCTAATATAAACTTTGAAATGAATATATGTTCATCCCTAACCTAGGTCATAGGTCCTGTCATTGATAATTTATTACAGCATTGTTATGTTTTAAACCTGGCAGTTATTAATCCTATAAAATGTTTCTATAGCTACATTTTCTGTAATTATAAACTAATTCCTAGAGAAATAAATCATGCATTCTTAGAGGTGTAGGGACAGTAATCGAGTGGTCAGTTATACATAATCGTGTTAGTATAAAACGATCATCTTTGACTGACTGGTTTCAACCTATAACTTTGTACAGATGCGCAGCAGTTCGAGTCGCCACACTTCACGTAACACACAGAGCAAGAAAGGAGACTAGGGAGAGATTCAAAACAGAGACAACAAACGGAAATACAAAGCAAAAGGAAAAGTAAATATGGAAGAACAATATAGTTTTATTGGATATTATAAATCACAAAGAGTGGATACATCTGCGCTAGCCATTCAGAACGATTTTGAGCCATATCACCAATTATCTCCAGCCATTGGTGTTTACTGTCCCGAGGACCCAAACCACTTCACTCCCTATCTCTAAGCTAGGAGTAGTCAATGTAGCATCATCTTACATTTGGCGGGAGCGAATCTCATACCAAACATCCGCAGATTGCAGCTCAAGGTGTTCACAAGACTCTGCATTCTGCCAGCCTCTTCACCTAGAAGGACTATATCATCTACACAGTCCAAGTTAACGAGATTATTCCCTGGTAACAAGTCAATCCCCGAGTCTCTGAAGTCACTTAGGGTTAGTTTCCTTATTACATATATGATGAAATTAAATAGAAATGGGGACAGGGGTAAACCCTGACTGGCACCACTAGTTGTCACCCCTTCAGATGAAAACTTGCCGTAAGCCTTCATCTGGCTGCATGAGTACGAGTAGAGTGACTTGATCAGTGCAATGTATTTTCTCGACATTCCCTTTGCAGCCAAACATCTCTAGAGCACCTCTCGGTCGACACAATCTAATGTCGTCTTTAGGTCAAGAAATATAACGATTGTTGGACAACGACGGTAAGTATGTCTATGTCCAAGAATATGTCGGAGGGTGAAGATATGATCAAAACATTCTCTTCTTGGTCTAAAGCCTGCTACCTCATTCTCTTGTGTTTGTTCCTCTCGTGGACCGCTTTGTCTACGCATAATTATTGAGTCTAGAAAATTAGACACCATATTAGTTAAGCTAATTCCTCTGTGATTATCACAGGAAGACTTGTCTCCTTTCTTGTATATCGGGATAATCAATGACTTACATCAGCCCGACAGGACTTCCTCTGATTCCTAGACGCTGCCTAATACCTTAGTCAACCCAGACATTAAACTTTCTACACCGTACTTAAATGCATCTGGAGTCATTCCGTCACGTCCTGCTGCTTTGCTTAGTTTCAGACTAGTGACAGCTTTCGTAACCTCAGTTAGGGACGGAGGACCGGTGTTTATATCCTATTCGGGGAGGTGTTGGATGCTGTGTAAGTTTAGCGTGGGTGTAGGCCAATTGAATTGCTCCTCAAAGTGGAAATTAATTAGGTACTCGAAATATGGATAATTTAAGGTTCATAAAAAAGTATTCTAAAATATTTGGAAATTAACGCCAAGAAAATGTACATCAACTGTTATTCCCTTCAGGTTTGTAGACAAAAGGTAAGAAACTAAAATATAACATGATAAACCACTCATCATGTTAATTTTATTAAATATAACCTCCCTATCGTAAAACATGGAATAAAGCCGACTACGATTGTTGTGACATACAATTCATACAAAAAACTAAACTTACCAAATCAACAATATTTTGTAAATTAACAGGTGTCAATTCATGAGTATCATTTACATTTACTTGTTGAACTGATGCAAAGTATACTGGTGAATCATCTACAATATTTGGATCATATTTTCGTTCACGATCTATTCAAAAAAGGTAAAAATAAAGCACATAATTCACTTAAGAAAAAGGAGACAATTACCACGAAGACTTTAAATCAAGTTTCCTTAATATGTATAGCATTGAAAATAAATTCTTTATATACATATAATTGGAAAGAAAGTAAAAATCGATCACATCTATGGTCTCTAGATTATCACATTATAACGTTTCATTAATTCAGAGAAAAACAAAAAAAAAAAAACAACGACCAATTGGTAATAAATGACCCTTGATATTACTATTATTATCATTAGTATGGATTATTACTTTTAACATTCAACTACTACCATGCCTGTACAAACAAGTTAGTTTATCAGATAAACAAAGTTAACAGAAATCTGATTATCATAGGTAGATATTATTTAGAAAATTATGAACTCTAAAAAAAGAAGTACAACAAATTATCGAACAAAGTATACTGGTAAACTCAGAAATGGTTCATATATACAAGTAGGTAACCAAGTAGTTAGAACAGCATGTCAGTGAATCCTATTGCTTTGAGTAGTGCAAACCAACATAGTCTAATTATTGTTTACACGGTAAGTAAACAAGTGATTAGGAAGAGAAAAAATATAGTGTAAATCCTTTCAACATTCATGTTATCTCACCACTGCACTTGAAGTACCACCAGTTAGTGAACTGAAATTGTACTACCTGATTTACAACAGTTATCTTTAAAAAAACGTTAAACACATGTTTACCGAAGGTATTCAGCACTGATTAGAATCTATTTATGCAAATGTGTGTCGGTGGTACAGCCGTAGAATGCTCGCTGATTTCGGGGTTCGATCCCCGGTCGACGCACTCCTTTACCTCGCTAAGTCAGTAATAAAACTGGTAAAGAGGGAAGGTTGGGCATGAGGCTAGCAACTCCATCCCGTAAAATAGACACCATTGCTACCTAAACTTCAAGTCTCTAGCTTGAAGCCCTATGTTCCACTGGGAACGTAAAGGAATAAAAAAAACCCAATTGAGACATCTTATAACAAAATTCATGTACTCGAATACCCTAGGAATCATATAGTATGGTTAATTAGATATGGAGAGAATATGTTTAATTTTGGAATCTAAGTCATCACCATATATATTAATAAAGTTGAAGTGTATTTAAAGTGAAAAAGTGAATGCCATGAGAAACCAACTGACTGACAATAAACGCAACAATTAATGTTATCACGTGTAATTCTATTAACAATAGCCCACTAACTTTTAGAGGTATTCCTCATAAAAGTGAAACGGTGAATGTGAACATCTGGTGCTTTATAACCAGACTGGTGGACATGCATGTCTACCTAAGTGGGCTGGAAAATCCTAATTCTAAGACTATGGTGTACATGGACTCCAGAAAAGGAAAAGATCTAGCGGCATGTGAACCCGTTTTGGTCACCAGAAATCATGGGAACACAGCTCCTGACACTGCTCCACTGACTTTTCAATCAGACTTTAATTTAAAGGCTCTGGGGGAGTGGTGGGTCTTTAAGACAACCACCTGCTCCAGTTCGGGTGTCCAGGAAGTAGTCTCATTCCCCGAACAAACTATGAGATTTTGTGTGGCATATCTCTTTGTGCGCACGGTGTATCAAATTTGTGTTTTAACAATAATAATAATAATAATCAAGTTTAGATTAGAGTTTATTGAAATAACCAGCCATTAGTTGTCAAGTTCAAAGCAACACAGATGAATTGAGAGTTCAACTTGCAGTCTCAATAAAGGTATTACTGTTATGAACAGTTAACTAGAATCCTTCATCATTTAAAGGTGAAATATGCATATCTCACTTAAATAAGATAAACAAAAGACACATTAACCCTTTAAGTTGATGATAGCTAAGAATTACAAAAAAAAACAAATTACCCATTGCCCATCGTAATTCTCTTCTTGATACCCAACCAACTAGATAAGGTGACTCTTGAGAAACAACAACAGGAAATCCTTTAACATCACATCCACTTATCAATTGGTCAACATCACTAACTGTCATATCATATTGTGTGACAACATAAAGTGGAGAACCAGAATCTCTAAATGATAAAAAACAAAAAACAAAAGAAAGCAGATACATTTTGAAAGTTCTTTCTTCTCGAAACATAGTAAATATTAATAAAAGTTCTTGACATGTTCATGATATACTTACATTTAAATGTTAAGAGATGGAGAACTCTCAGCAAGTGTCACTTTCATCCTAAAATGTACAAGTCTCTTTTAATAATTTTAAGGCCTAAATAAATAATAACAACTAATCGAAATGAGAAGAGAACAGAAGTAAGAGAAAAGATTTTCGGTCTAGGTGGATACTTTGGGCTTTTGTCTTCTCTGAGCCGGATGATTTATTTGACAAGTGTTCATTGTTTTTCTAAACAACATTTCTAGTGTGTAGAGCTGTCTACTAGCCAAATTGGTAGACAGTAATTTACGTAAATGTTACGTTATTGAATAAAAATAAACAACTTGGTAGGCGATAAAATTAATCACTAGTACTTTAAAATAAAGTAAGTAGTAGTTCAGTGGCGGGTCTTTTGTAACTATTAAAATGACTGATTCGAAGATTTTAATCTAATGTATCGGAATTAGGCTTGTACAAATGCATCATTTAAGGAGTAAAAGACGAAGGAAGCGCCCAACAAAACAATCATCTCATCTCAGTGAAAGTAATGTCACACACGTCTATATACCACAGTTTAATCTGAGACATTTTGATAAATTGTTTTTTTTTAAAGAGGATGTGAATAAATGTTTAAAAATCTTCTAAATGGTTGTCGATTATCAGTTAGGTAAGCGTCAGTGGCTTAGCGGTAGAAGGCTCGCCAACCACATATGTGGTCCAGGGTCCGACCCCCGGCCGACGCACTCACCTCAATAAGCCGGTAATAAGACGGGCAAAGAGGGAAGGTTGAGCATGAGGCTAGCAAACCCACCCCGTAAAAATTAATATCACAGCTACCGAATCTTCGAAGCTCTAGCTTGAAGCCCTTTGTTCCACTGGGAACGTAAAGGAGTAAAACAACAACCAGTTAGGGACAAAGAATTCAACAGATACTTCTGAAGAATAAGATAGTTAAGTCATAAAGAAAAAAAGCATTTCAGGGAATAGACATCGTATTGTTATATTAAAGTGTTATTCACTTCATAATAATTCATAACAGATTACTACGATAAATTTGATTGGTAGTTTAACGTTTCAACAGAAAAGTGGTATCTAATATTCCCTGCTAGTGAAGCTGGATGGGAAAGAAACCAAAGTATAAAGACAGATAAGAAATTAATCAAAGTCTAACAATATAAACCTGAAAAATACTACATTTATCATTATCAAACAACTTGAAAAGATAGAGGTTATCGACATAGGAGCAATCACTACTATGGGACTATCCAAGTAGCCCTACAATATATTAATGCATGAGTTAAAAAGCAATATGCAAGAGAACAAACCAATGAGAAAAATAAAACTGAGAAGCGCAAAAGGTCGCATTAAGAAAAGAAGATAAAGACTGAGGTTATTTCGGCTACAGTCTCCAACTATAAGTTTGGATAACCTTGTTGACGCGTAGTCTTACAAACCAAACAATCCTACTCAGTTCATATCACAACAATGAATTGAATCACAGATTAGTTCTACGTCTTCTCTAGTAGTTGTTTTTTTAATTTTCATCCCACCTAATTCAAGTTTTATTCAATACTGCATACTGAGATATCTTTGGGATAGAGATATACAGTACATGTCTCAGTGACTTTTACGTGATCTACATTAACAGATTTAACCATTGATTTACTTGTCTTATATTAAACTTTATACCTTACCTCTGCATGGTTGTCATAGTGAACCTAGCACAAGTGGACAATACTACGAAAGAAGAAGCAGTTCGATAATTAGAATCTACAAACGCCATCATGTTAGGCAGTTATGTAAAAGACAAGAATACACTACTGTGCAGTAATTACGATTCGAAAATTATTATTATTATTGTATCCTTTAATTCCTAGAGGAACATAGGGCTTCAGCCGCGCGTCTCCATTGCGTTCGGTTCTCTGCTAGAGTTTTCACCTGGCTCCATGTCTGCCCACACGCCTTCATCCCCTCTTCACATGACCTCCTCCAAGTCACCCACCCTCGCACTGACGACCAACTCGCCGCTTCTCTTTCGGGTTCCACTCGAGCAATGGCTTGTCTAGTGATGTCACTTGATGGTTTTCTCAGAGTATGACCAGCCAATCCATCTCCATTTCTTCCTGCCTATTTGTTTCACAATCGGTTCCTGCTGAGTTGGTTCGTTCATTGCCAGAGATCTCTGTTGCTGATCTTTTATGGCCGGCCATCTGATCTCGAGCGAAGTATTGAGCGAAGACAACTGTTAATGAAGGTCTGTAGTTTGTTTGAGATGCTCTTTATGACGCGCTGGCCAAGTCTCTGATCCGTATAGTAGCACTGACTGACTTCACATTGGAGTTGAAAATCCGGATCTTATTTTTGATACTGAGGGCTGTTGACCACCACACAGACTTGAGAGTAGTGAAAGCTTGTCTTGCTTTTCCGATTCTTGCTTTGATATCCTCGTCAGTTCCGCCACCTGTAGTTGAAACGATGCTTCCCAGGTAGGTAAAGGAGGTTGTTTCTTTCAGGTTCCTCCCATTTATGCTGATTGTTGTCAGTTGTTGTTGTTGCTGTTGGTGGTGTTGCCGGAGAATCTTCATCACCTCTGTTTTCTCTATGTTCACCTGAAGTCCTATCTTTGATGCTTCTTCTGCCAACTTTTTGCTTTTCGCTTGCATATCTTCCAGTTTGTGGGAAATCAGACATATATGTATCTGACCACCATTTTATTTCCAATCAGTCGATAAACTATGTTGTTAAATGCCTTTTACTTCTTTTACTTTAGATTTCTTCACCTTTAAAGCAAGCTATCCTCAAAAATTTCACAGTAAATCACACTCAATTTAATGAACTTCAACCCCATAATCATCATATTAAACGTCACTAGCTTCAGTTCAATAAGTTACTGATTCCCTCATTTCCACACTTACTATTGGCTAGTAAACAAGACAAGGCTTCAGAGTGCATTAGCCAAAAATCGAATCCTGTGTGGCTGGCTGGTGAGCGTTTGTTCTACCAATGAACTAACAACGTACAATAAGCAACTATGTGTTATTCATTTCGACTTTTAAAATACGATCAATTTCATAATTTAATGTCTTTATTGATATTTGTTTTCCAATTGTTGATTATAATATTTTCGACATATTTTCCTATTTGGTGTTTCAACTTATCAATGAAAAGTAATAAAATGTGATCAAAATGTATATTGAACAATAGATAAGTTTATATATTTTAAAACAAAAATTTCTACTTCTGTTACACTACTGTTACTCTTTACTTTGTCGAACAATAAGTCAAGATTGAATCTCCTACGAGAAATATCGAAATTATCTCTTCAAAATGGAAGAATAAAGAGTGAGGCTTAATAAAGCTTTGAAAAAGTATAATTGCTGTATATTAATATATATACGTATGTATGTATATATGACAGGGTAGTTTATAAGGAAGAATAATGAACTAATCGAGACAGTACACAAGCAGAAGACAGAGATGTAGTCATTAGGATTGTCAAACAAAAATAAATTAGTCAGAATTATTGTTTACTTCATCAAAATATTTCTAAAATGTGGTGAATAATCAAAATTGTAACTGCGGGAGGGGGTGGGTGAAGATTGGTAAGTATTGACAAGAGTTGCGTAATATGAAATAGGATGTTAATGGAGACACGTGTCCAAAATAAATTATGAAATAGGTAGAAAGAGTAAATAATGGGTTGGTTAAGAAGAAGATGTTACTAAGATGTCATACAAAAATTTATGCAAACAGAAGAAACTTCTCCACCCCTCCTTCTACTTTGGGTATAATTCCAAGTCCTACTACTTTGTTAATAATGTTTTTTTTTGAATTTTTGTATGACATCTTCGTAACCAACCCATTATTTACACTTTCTACCTATTACGTAATTTATTTCATATTACGCAACTCTTGTCAATACTTACCAGTCTTCACCCCCCTAGTTACAATTTTGATTATTCACCACATTTTAGAGATGTATTCAGTCAAATGAAATGTTTATACAGTCTGTAATGTACACATTTTCTGATCACAGTTTTAACAACCTATTAAATCGTAAAGCGTGTTACATATTCTGATGTAAATACTTTCAAAGAAGACTATACGGAGATTGCACTCTAAACTAAACAATTAGGCAACATTTGTCCTAACTAATTAATGTGGCTCTGAATTGATTCGGGTACTTTGTCGGTGAGTTCTGACGCAAACAAAAGGAACTGCCGTCGAGTGTTTATATCGTCTCAATTAGGTCGTTTTGAGTAGTTAGCAACTACTCACACTAGTAAAATTAAGTGAGCATGTCTATCGAATAATGGTTTCGTATAACAACAAAAAAGGTAATATATACAAGATTCGGATTTTCAACACAAACGTCAAGTCGGTCCTTCTATACGGGTCAGAAACTTGCGCTGCGTGTCACGAAGAGGATTTCCAACAAGTTACAGACTAACGTCAACAGCTGCCTTCGCTGGCTCCATACTGAAGATCAAATGGCCGGCCAGCCAGAAAGAATTAGTAACAAGAAACTCTAACTGGCAACAAACCAACCAAGAGCCCGTCGCCCAACAAATATGTGGGAGAAAATGGAGATGGATTGGGCATACATTGGGGAAACTGTCGAATGACATCGCGCGCAGTGCAGGCCATCGCCCGAGTGGAATCCCAATGGGAAGCGACGAGTAGGTCATCAGTGCGAGGGTAACGTAAAGGAGATCGTGTGGCGAGAAGGAGATGTGTTGTTGAAGTCTTATGTTCCACTCGGAACCCAAAAGGGATACCAATAATATATAAAACAAAATTCTCATTATCAACATTACTAATTGTACATTTACATTCTACAACAAATGTTATTCAAGCGAACAAAACACAATGTTTGCGGTATCCATTGTTCCGATGATAAAATAAATATAGTTTTAA